CTTATAGCGAAAAAAATAATAAGCAAGAAGAACCGCGAGCACACAAACAAACGCACTGAACTCCGACGACGTACTGATTCCGAGCGCTTGGCGGTCAGGTATATAAAAGCACCAAATTCGACAATATAAAAACACTCTCGAAACCGCACAGACCTCTAAACTTAACATTTTAGTGGTTACAGGAAATTTTGCTTGGCGCAAGACATGGAAACACGAAATAATTGTTATAAAGATAACTAAAAATAGCGTTGCAATCAACAACTATATGTATATCTAGTTAAGTTTCATTACCTCCAGTTAATTCAAAAATAAAATAGTTACATAATATGTGTTTGTAGAAAAGTCATATTTTAATTATGTCTTTAATTACTTCTTCAGTTTGAATCCATCACAAAAATAAAGAATCCATTCGCATTAAAGAAATAAAAATGTCAAAACAACGATTAATACTTCTTTAGCGATGTCGTAGAAGAAACACTATCTTTATATTTCTGGCAAAATGCGCATAGTTAAAGAAAACATAAAATTTATGTTGCAGTAATTGCACTTGATTAAAGTAAAATGCGTTGGCGTCCCATCATGCGAGTATCACATCTGTCTTTTATTCCATAAGAGAGTTCATCGAGAAGATCATTTAAGTTGTTTTCAATAAAATTCATATAACTTTCTCTAATTAACCGTTGGGGAAAAATACGGATATTAAATAATCATCAATCATTCATATTTTTTTTTTTTTAATCCGGATTTTAGCAATTCTATTCAAAGCCGAATGCGCAAAAAGCTGGTTGTGAAAAATTATCCGATGAGAGAGCTTGAACTCGATCAATGTACTCTTTAGCGATTTTTCATATTCTATACTAATATTGAAATCATAAGCAGTTTATTTAATGCTGGCCAAACTTTCTGAAACCGCCCAGAATGACTCTCTTATTGTAGAGGAGTCCGTACAAAAATGTATCAATCATTTCTTCATTTTAACTAAAATTCAGTGTATGATAACACAGTTAATGCATCCTGCTGTGTGGTACCTATGATTGTCGTTCATCTGATGATTATTTCATAATGATAGCTTCTGAACGGAAACCTTTTGAAATTATGCTGAGACATTGGAGTAAAAATAACTTCACATTATTTATTCATTTTGATTTAGTACAATTCTGGTCTTAATTTCGAATACTTGGAAACTTTCTGAACACTTCTCAAAACATTTTAAGAAACGTCATTTCAAAAACTTGCTGATATAAAAAAAAATTGAGTTGGGTTGGGTTACACCAAACTAAATCCAATTGCCTAACCAGGCAAACCTTCAAGATCATTTCCCTTTGTTTTCAAACGTATGAAGACGACTTCTCGTACCATATTTATATAGCAACGGAAACTATATCACTTAGCATGAGTATGTTAAGGTAGGATTAAGAGTAACTTTTCTGCGTGGGTAGATGAAATCATTTCTGCATTAGAAGATAATGTTTACTAAATGCTAAAATAAAGGCAGAAATGTTTGCGATTTTTGTGTTATTAGAAAAGATTTTTTTTTAAAAGAACATAACACTGCTCATAATGCGTTGAGATTACATGCATTGGTTGACGTCTTACTTGATCACGTTTTTAATCTATTAGCACACAAAGATTGAATTGGGAAATATTTCCACAAGTGCCCTCATCAAACTATATTACTCGAAAAGTCTTACACATCATATTAAGAAAAGAGTAGAGTCCTGTTAAACCTGTCTCGTAGCTGCCACCTTTATGCACGCACAAAGACATATTGCGATTACAAAAAGATGTAAACACTACTCCAAAGAACATGATTTTGAGGCATATACAGGGTAACATCAGTATAAGCATAGCCATTTGATATTGATGAAATATTTATTCACCAAACGATAAATTTCTGCCATTTGACTTAACATTAGTTATGGAATATCATGTCAAATCATCTTGTTGATTAAACACTTCAAGTCTTTAGCAGAAGATATCCATGACTTTCGTCTCGTTCAATCAAATGCACTTCTTCTGTAATGGCATTTTTAATCTCTATTAAAGCGTAAGGTTTGTACGTTATTCTAAATCTCACACAAGAAAAAATCACAGCTGGACAAGTCCCAAGTGATCTTGGGGACCACATTATATCACTAAAACGAGAAATAACTCGACTAGGGAACATCTTTTTCACTACTACCATAGATATCCCAGTAGCGTGCATTGTGGCATTATGTTGTTGAAAATAAACTTTTCGAGTTCATAGTCACCGTAACGTCGTTCTTCTCAAAGAATTACGGCACATCAAACTATAGACGCGCAGTATGAAGAGTTTGTTTATCACCGAAACATTTAAATGTAAAAGAGCTTCATCGTTCATTACCGGTACTGCATTCCGGTTTACTTCAAACAACACTTGCACACCCACGTTTTGCCATTGTACGTAATCTCTCATATTCAGCTGGACCACCTACATTCTGTAAGGGTAGAATTTAAAATCAAAGCGTAAAATTTTTTCAACAGAATCTCGGTTTATCTGTACCTCCTGATTATTACCTGTGTTGCTGTGGAGATGTTTTCAGGCATCCTGGCAATTCTTCTATGGCCTGACAACTTTTATTTGCTATGTTTGATGTTTATCTAAAACATTCAACCCATCGCAGGATCGTATTGCTCGAAACTATGGTAGAGAACGTAGTAAAGCTATTGACGAATTTTTGAGTAGAAATTTCAGAATTTCCAATTATTTTGTTATCCACAGGGATAAATTCTTGAGAATCTTTATCTTACGCTCAGTAAACTATGCTCACTATGCTAAACAGTAAAATATGCTTTAAGGCAATAGATACTAACACTGATAAAAAAAATGTATCAAATATTCATTTTAACATTTTTATAGTTTCATATTTTAAATAATTCAAATAGGCAAAACTCTATACTTACCAATACATTTTATTTGAAACACTATATTGAGTTTCATTAAGCGATTTCGAGGTGATTAGTGTATCTGCAGGTAATATAATACAATATAAATTTGTTGTCAGTGATACATATTTAATTAAGACTTAATAATCTCGAAACCGAGTTGTCCTAGAAACGTTGGAAAGGCTTCCTATAACATTCAAATAAATTCTAAAATTTATTTCAACTTTTATTTAAAATTAACTATTGCACAAAATTTAATCTTTACAGTTCCTCCTAACTTTAACCTTTATCTCTAATCTAATGGTTAAGTCGTATATTCCCTGACTATTTTAATTAACTGGTCTGCTCTGACACATTTTCAGTGAGATTTGCGAACGTTGAATTGTGTCTCATATATATGTAGCATAAAATTTAATCCTTATAACCCTTGATTTAAGGATGATTTTAACTATATCTTGGAATTTATGGCAAGAAATATGAATTTCAGCACATTTAGCTATTTCGGCTATTTAGGGATCGATATTTTCGCAATCGCGAAAAATTTTATTGTATGTTGTAATTATACACAATATTTGGAAATTTTCTGTTGTGGGGTTTCGGAAAAGTCGCGAGTTAAGTGATGACCTCCAAAAACACTGAACTAATTCCATTATGGTGTGTCTGAGTTATTTATACCTTGTTTAATTTAAAATTTAATGACATTTATTTACAATTTAAAAAATGTTAAGTATTTTGTATAAAACGTTATTAATTTTCCTATTTATTACTTCTTCGCGCAATTAATTTTTGAAGGGTTATAATTGATAATATTCGTCGTTAACTTGAAGTCAATAAAATTACATCAAATTTTATCGTCCTAAGCTTAAAATGATCTCGTTAGGTGAATATCTCGTTTTTATCTATATTTATCTATTTTCACACTTAAAAATTATTAAAATCAATCAGTATAAATCCTTTTTTTGCGCTTTTAAAATAATTCTAACTGCCAAAAATCAATCCAAATAATTTTTTTTGCGTTTAGAATGTTTAAATTTAATAGAATTTTTCGAAGTCAAGATTTTATATAACGGCGCCTAAACTTAGTGTATATCGTATGTCTCAATAATGTAAGCGTACAAATAAACAGTTCCGGAATTAGTGCCACAAAGACCTTCAGCTATAGTCGTAAATTGTATATTTACTGGCGAACATCGCCGCCGGTTAAACGATCTTCCTCGTTATTCAAATATCTTACCAGTTTCGAGAGAAAGTCCCATACTACATCAAAAGTGATCGATAATTACACAGTTTCGGAACTCGACCGTTCTCAAATCGTGATAAAATAAGCGTCCTGGGGCTCAGTTTCTATTTAACCAGAACTTGGTTATTTATGGGTGAAAGATTCCAAAGATGATGTTCACATTCCATGAATGTCACTATAAAAGCCGATAGATTCGATTCTTCTACTTGTATAGATCGTAAATTTATTGTCATATTTTACAAAGCATCGACAGTTAAAACGTATACAAAAGAACATTTGGTTGTTAAACAACGGTTACATCCGTTTGTTTAAGACAAAGATCTTATGTGGAGAAAGTATTGTAGTTCGAAAATTTAAGACTACACATCTTTACCTTAACACATTTGGTAATCGCGTTTAAGTCGCTTTTACTTTACGATTTGTAGCGTCCCAATAGCATAAATGCAAAGCAATCGCACAGTTAACCATTTGTATACACACATTTAGAAACCCGAGAAAGGAAACGGTGTCATTACCAACACGAAATGGGTTATTAAAACTGATATATGTTTATATCTACTCCATCTTAATCAATAAAATAAATGTAGTTAAACATTTTCTTATCTGCAAATCATTTTATTTTATATGGATATCTTTTTATTCTTTTACAACTACAATTGGGATTTATGATACCGTTTTTCTTTGCTTACTCCTTTTACGGTTCATAAACCTCCAAGTGATTACCTCATTAGTTTAAATGATTAATTAATATTCGATGTAACCGAGTAAAAAATCCAAGAACAATTTCCTTCTTGCGGTTACTATCGCAATTGACTCATCCAGTAGATTTTTTTAAAAGTATTTGTTTTTTTATGAGTTTCAGGTAACCGCACCAAGATTCCCCGTCGTTTTAAAAATAGGTCATGCTCACGGTGGTCTTGGAAAAGTAAAAGTAGACAACATGAGTGATTTTCAAGATATGGCAAGCGTTGTTGCCGTTTCCAATACTTATTGTACCGTTGAACCATACATCGATTCAAAATACGACATCCACGTCCAAAAAATCGGCATAAATTATAAAGCTTTCATGAGAAAGTCGATTTCTGGTTGTTGGAAAACCAACACCGGATCCGCGATGTTAGAACAAATCTCAATGCCGGATCGATATAAAACATGGATCGACGAAGTTTCCGATCTCTTCGGCGGATTAGATATTTGCGCTTTGGAAGTTGTCGTTGGAAAAGATGGGAGGGAGTATATCATTGAGGTAAATGATAGCGCTTTGACTTTATTAGGGGATTCCCAAGAAGAAGATCGACGTCACATCGCTGATTTGGTGGCGTATAAGATGCAAGCGATTTGTAGACCGAGATCCCCATCGACTGAAGGAGAGCCGATTCCACCACCGGTTGGGCCACGAAGTATTTTGGGCAGTTTGAGTAGCTTAACGCACTCGGATTCAAATCCGAATGAACCACCTGGACTATCTAACATCGGACGCCGGGATAGTCAAGGTAAGAAAAGATTCAAGTAGAAATAGACGTCAAATGTCGTTTCGTGTTAGATAACTCGACTACGGTTTATTATTCTTATGATTTATAATACCATGGGTACTTATTAACTATTTAATAAATATTCATGTAGGTGAGGTATGGTAGACAGTGGCGCCTAACTTACAATTAAATTTACATATTAATAACGATTTGTTCATTATGTATTTTTAGAATTTCTTTGATAAAATCTTCAAATTTATATTGAAATTTACATTATCTTTTTGACTCAACTTAGAATTACATTTTCTATTGAAAATTCTGCGTCGTAATTAAATTTTTTATAACCTTTTATTTTATTTATAATGTAATCTTTAATTCAAAACATAAACCAATAGGAGGGGAGTGCGGAAACACATTGTGTAAGTAATTGTATTGGTTTTGATGTTAATTTTGCTGAAGTAACTAATGGCATAGTAGAAATTGAGCATCTACTTGGTTTCGAAGAGCATTGAATCGAAAACTAATAAATTTGAGCTTATGAAGAACAAGAGAACCACAAAGCAGCGATGACTGCGTTGAAGTTCCTATAAGAGAATTAATAGTTGCTCAACTAATAAAAATTATTGAAATGGTTGAAAACGTGTCAGGACATATTATGGAAGTTGATCCCAACATTACCTAGTAGACTTACAATTTTCCGAACGATAAACAATGCTGTTTGTTGCGACAAGGAAATGTATACAGAGGAAAAGTCAAAGAAAAAGGTGCAAATTTACAATATTTAGACAATAAGAACTGCATCTTATATGCAACATAATTACTTTAAATAAAGATATTTTAAGTTATATTATTATGCATGCCATCAATAATTATGATGTGACGCAAAATTCTGAATAACTCTCTAAAGTGTCGAGATCTTTTCATGATCTTGTTTTGAACTCAGCACTGGTTTCGAAGTTAATTACATAAACTTTGTTTTCAATATAGTCTCATAAAATTGAGGTACAATCCAGCCATAATGCGTTCTGTAAAGTACTTTCCAGAATTTTAAACACTGTATTGTTACCCATTTGTAGTACAGATACTTTTCGATCACGAATTGGGCATTTAAATGCGATAATCTTGCTTATTGACGAACCCATCCATATCAAAGTAGGGTTCGTCACTAAAACAAACCATGTATAGATCGAATTCTTGTTTGACAATGGCACTCAATGACTGATGAGTTTGAATTTTGTAAGGAAAGAATTTTAGGTTTGAAGTCTTTCTATTACTTCCGACTTGTTGCGAAGCTTGTCTGATTGATACTCCTATAATCGGACTGTTATTGCTTGACTAGTAGATCTTAATGAAAGATGGACGAGGGATGTCCTGTTACTAAGGTACATTTATGAATTACTTTATTTATAGAAATCAAACATGCACTAAGCAAAACTGCGTGAACTGTTTTATTTTATCTATTTTTCATCTTAATATTCGTCCTCGCCTTCAAATCTTTTACCCGACAAATAAACTTTCAACGGCGCAAGAATAAAAATCCGAAGGAGTCAGGTCTAGCCTATGGGGCGGATGGACAAGAACTTCCTAATACTGTTTCTGAAGCCAGTTGCATTGTCGTGCAACAATCTGATTCCTTTCGTCAACCTGCCTCTTCGTTTCTGTCGAATGACTTGGTGTAGTTTTTCGAGAGATTGACAATAAATATTGGTGTTGATCGTCGTTTTCAAACTTAGAGTATGTTTTGAATCGGAACTGACATTGTATGACTGTCCCTATATTAACCTATGATAATAGCCACACCTATGCACGACATACGTGCATCTAAAATGGGTGGACCTGACAAGTTTAAACCTGAGCGGAGCGACGTAGGCGGAAAACTTTGGACCTTAGCACTTCAAAAATACAGCTGTGCCCACTTCTGCTCTTATTTTCTCCAACATCAGTATTTACTTCACTATATATCCAGCAGTCTGCTTGCTCAGCCTCGAAAGTCACTTCGAATATTTCTGCTAACTATCCTTTAACAGCTTTTGCTTCTTCCAGACTCATATCTGTGACCTGTAGATTATCATACTTTTTACAAAGCCGCAAAACATCAAGTCCTTAGTGAAAATTGTTCCCTCCCACTTCCATATCTGCCACAGTAATCTGGCCGCTTTTCTAACTCTTTGACAGAAATGAACTACACCCCATACGAGAAAACTTACAACCCACCTCCATCGAAGTCCAAGAATCTCATAAAAGTCAGATAGGAGCTGAGTTAACTTTTATAACGATTGGACCATCTCCTCGCGTAGCTGGGTCATCTAGGGATTGTGATATAGTTCAATTGTCTGTTAATTCAGAGATTAAGAGGTTATCTGTGATTTACTTAATTTCATAGAGTGCACCATAGAAAAGATTCTACGTCATAGTGATCGCTTTCTTCGGAAAGATGAATTCGATCAATTTATACATCTGCATGTAGAGTGTTTTTGGTTTTATTGTTGATAGTGTTCTAGGTGACGAGCGTCCTTAAATTTTAAGACTTTCATTCGTCAGTATGGGGATAACATTCCATTATGCAAAGGGTAATTGTTTTGGTTTTCAATAGATTTACATTTATACTGGAAATTTGTAATGCTGTACAAAATAGAGTATGTTCGATGGTTAAAAACGTTATTCGTACGTAAGCCGATCGTAATAAACCACGGTCTTTTAAACCTTCTGTAAAGCTGTATTCAAGATGCTTTTCGCAACATTTGCATAAGGAAATGCATTAGATCCACGGCTTGTTCTAGGATGTCACGATGAACAGGCAGTTGTCTATCTTGTCTTGTAGCTTTCAATTGGAGATATTTGCGATGGAGCATGGTGCTTGGCTCCTTATTTTCTCACTATGGGGTCATCTAAAGAGTTAACAGGAAGCTGAACTGTCGATAATCAACTTTGGCTATTTCAGTTTAGCAAAACCAAGCAAATTAGCAATTTCGATAACAGTCTGGAATGATGTAAGATTTTCTTTATAACACTATATTTTATCTGGATCGACACCCAACCCAACCCAACCTGTAATCACTTGACTAAATTTCACTTTATTTAATACCAATTACATGATGGTGCCCAGCAAAAGGAATAATTTCTCTGTTAAGTTTTTGTGCAGACAACACTGATACGATTATCAATTTATCTTCAAGATTCCAGTGTACAGTCAAGTTCTTGTTCGCTTTTTGAAGAATTTTCCAACCTTGCCACAGGAATAAGTTATTCTTTATTTTGTATGAAGACTTTCTTGTATTGATTTCCAAGCATGTAAAGCACGCCATAATTTTTCATGCCAGTGAATAGTCACAACGCCTGGTAACTCAAGTCACGTGTCAGATCAGCTTCGATCGCCATTGCCATATCTGCTTATAAATCCATATTTTGCTTAGAAACAGAAGATGAATCGCTTTATAACGATTCATAAGATGATGTTATTGAAGAAATATTTAACACATCGCTTCTTCCTCAATGATTTTAACCACACCCTTTTATCTTCACCAGTCAGTTAAATTGATAATAATCTCTTCCTATTTTACTCAAATACGAATTTTAATTTAAGAAATAAATCATTTAGAAATATCGATATTTTGTCCATCGCTTTTAGGTTTTGATTTATAAGCAATTTTTTTATAACAAATAACGAAACTATTGATATTTTAGGGTTTTGCACCATTTCTATAAAGAGTTACGTAAATCCCAAGTAACTCTCTATGTCGTAAATTCAAATTATGAACATCCATACGATATTGTACAAATAGGTTGATTGAAAATCTATGAAGGAGTTATGTATTATCGATACCCAACCATAAATAAGATTGTTTGTAAGAAGACATGTCTTTTGTAGCCAAGTGTCACCGCGATAGAAATGCACCATAAACTGAATCACAGTAGTTAAATATAGAAAATACCACGCAATTCTTGTTCGTATTCTTACTCAATGAAAATCTGTCGTAAAATATAAGCTTAAAGCAGCAAAGCAACGTGTATCGGTTAACGCTTCGTAAACGTTACCGATTTATACCGATTTTTTGTTGGGATTTTCCTTATTTTGTCCATAAATGTAACTTGTTGGTCATAAAAAAGTCAGTAATGGGCTTAAACGAAATTGCTGAAAATAAAGGAGCTCCGAAATTGATTTTTGTAGACCCAACATTATTTATGGCTTATTACTTTTAGATATAATTTTTTCCTTGAAGAATAATCTAGATTTGAAAATTGTGTGTTATAAACTTGAATGAAAACTAAACAATAATATTTGTTGAGTCATCAATTATTCGGTTCGGCATTGTTTTCAGAGTAAACCTTGATGTATTATGTTCGCAAACACGCACCCCGATTTGAATTACCTTAAAAATAACGTAATACTTTATTTATGTCGATTCAAAATGAACTTTGTTTACCTAAAGCTTAAACAAAACCAATTCATTGAAACGATTGATTCTAAACTCGCCATTACTAATTTTATTACTTTTTCTCTTAGAAATGCATCGTAAAAATTATCGCATTTCCTGTTATGTTGGTTGGAATTTCCAACTCATTTTTATTTTTGGAATAAATATATCAAAAATTTCTTTTTTTAGCATCTCAATCGAGCGTAACAAGCAGTGCTCCACCAAGTGCAAGAGCACCCGATCCACCAGCTCGTCCATTTCAAAGACAAGGAAGCCAACAAACCATAACAGAAGATACCGAAGATACCATGAAGAACCTCAGAAAAACATTCGCCGGGATTTTTGGTGATATGTAAAGATGTTACAATTCACTTCAATACGTTATTTTTAAAGTTGTCAATCTTTTGTCATTTCAAAACTGTTTTCTTTGAAGTTAAATAAAAAAGAAGGTTAAAATCAAATTAAATCGATTCAAGTTTACGATTTTGGTTGATGATTTATTTGCTTTAGTGTTGTTCACATATTGGGTGAGTGAAAATTCTTGTTTAAAAATTGTATCGTAATCGATTAGAAGAGCACTGTACGAAGGAGATTGTAGCACACATAAAGACAAATTAATAAGATCAATATCTTGTACGAAATAAAATGCCCTAATCGATTCATCCAAAAAAATGTATTAATTTCTTGGGTGGAACGCGATTGCATAAACTAAATGATAACCATAAAATTCATAACTCCATGATTATTCTCATTTGATAAACATAGAGAAATACCTTGAACTTACTCCGTAGTTGTAACGCTAAGCAATATAGATATATGTTATACGTTGATATGTTAATCCACTGCCTATGGCCTTGGCGTCAATCGAGTCGCCATTGTTATGAAAACGTAGTTGTTAAAAACGAACAAAATAAAAAAAAACATCATAAATAAAAAACAAAACGAAATGAAATTAAGTAAGTTCATGTAAGCGATGGTATTGTAATGTCGATGTTTATTCTAGTAATCAGAGTCAAATGAAAATTCCTTATTTTCATTCCCTCCTAAACAAAACTACTAAAACGGCAAATAAAACTTCATCATTCAATCGAAAAGCAAACGAAAAAAGGAGGATAAAAACATTAAATTCATGTCTCATATCTAATGTAAAGTGACAATATTGTAGTTGTTCTATTTATCTACTTTGCACTGTGTAACCAGTAACGAAGATGGATCTTTATAAAGGTAAGGAAATACGTTATATAGTCGTTACAATATACTTAATATTTCCGGTTGGTTATTAACTCCGATGCAACGAAAAAAAAGGGGGATAAAATTTATTAAAAAAGTGTAATGTATGGAAAATGTACTCGTGTAAGCTGAGAAACTTGCTTCGTTCTTCCGTTTTTTTCCTTCCATTTTAAACCATACTTAAATCAATCTAAGTTTGTGGTATTACTCTAAAATACAATACAAAAAAAAATAAGAACAAATCGACAAGATAAAAACAAAAGAATTATTAATCAAAAAATGTAATAACAAAAAAAGGGGCATAGGACATGATAAACGATGACTCATATTGGTAAAGGAACGAAACAATTTTCCGCAAGGTTTAATCTCATACCGAACTGGGTCAATCTGATTAGGCCTTAAGTACAACGGTAGATTTTACATGATTCCTAGAGTAGATGGTATACCAAAAAGACGTGTATGGTTTGTTTTCAATCGTTTATTTCTTGAAGCAGGTTGTGAATGGGAAAAACATAACAAGAAAACGACCATTCAAAACGTACACGTCATTGAAGTGTTTAGATAAGGGAGCTTACGTTTGTTATGTTATGCAATATTGTATAGTGTTATATCGATGGATAAATACAATAAAATGATTGAGATGCAGCAAACGAGTTTTCATTTTACACTTTTTGTTTATTATACACCCAAACACATTTAGCACATTTAAATAACATACATTTTTTTGGATATTTATATGAATTAACATGTGTTGTTTGGTTTAGTTATTCGTTCTTGCGATATGAATAAGAACAAAAATTAATTAATTTATTTAAGAATCCATTTTTTTATGAATACTATTTTTAGTTATTAAATGGAATAAAAATAACTAAGTACAAGTTTATATTAAAAGAAGATGTGTTAAGGTTAAGTGCCACTTTCGGATTACGGATTTAGCTCAAAAGTACATACAATCTTCAATTTCAGTATAGTACACTTAAACAAAATTTGATGAAAGCAACTAATTACATTTTTGAGTTGTAAAAATAGCGAGTGGGAGGATATCGGTACGCGATCTTGCGGCAGCGAATTAATTATCTGGCCTTTTACATTTAATGTACGCTGTATTTGCAAGAAAGTAAGTACATCAAACCAATGGAGTACGAGATAAATAACATGATACAGCGTGGATTGTCTGCAAATTGCGTTATTAAAGTTTCCATTTAATACAAAATACTAGGTTTCGATGAAACTGAGTCATTCAGATGCGTTTTGTGTTGATGCCTTTAGCAACCTACCAGTGGATCTTGTAACGAAAAGTGTGTCCAACATAACCTCTCTTTGAGACACATGCAATCAATATATGTCTCAAAGGCAGAATTTAATTTGGGTCTCATGCCCAATGAGTTGTATGATTTCTATAGGGGAAATCTTAATCCCTTCGAGCTCTAATTATTTCTCTCCACTATGAGTGTAACATAGTGGGGATATGATTCTCTTATCTGCTTCTTCCTCATCAATCTTCCTCACTGTTTTTCCCAGCAATTGTTAACCTTGCCAAGATTGGACCAAGATTTAATGTTAATTCTGTCAACAAGTGTGTCCCATATACACAAAAAGCAGGGATATTGCTGCCCAAACAGGAAGCAGACCATTTTAAAGTCAACATTAACAATCTGTTAATTGTTGCATGTATCCATCTAAGCTAATTTCCATCTAGCTTGATCTCCAATTTTCACTTTAATATAGGCAAAATAGGTTTGCTTGACAAATGTATTGATGTGGGCTGGAATCGGGGATATTTAAGCACTTACCACGTGAATTAGCAGAGGTATACATAAGAAATGTTTCAGTTCGTTTGGAAATAAAAACAAGACACATGCATAAAGAAGACTTAGACTCCACGTAGGAATACACTTCACTATTTCAGAGCGAACAAGTCGAGCCAAGTATAAACTTATCGCTTTTCTCCTATGCGTCATTCACCCGGCGCCATTCGATTTCACGGAGCGCCACTTTCCCACCATTCTCAAAAGATGTTGAAAAAAGGTGACGTAGAAGAAGATAACTACCCACAGTTTTGCAACCAGCTTGTCTACTCAACAGATTACAACTTATTACTTCTGGAAATTAGTAGAATATCTACAAACATGGGAAAATGTGCTGAAATGTTTACAAATGGATGAATTAATAATAAATCCGCGAAAGTGTATATTTTTACGAAGAAGTAGACTCTACGTGAGTCTGCTATAAGGAAATTTGCTACCACATCAATCAAGTACCTCGCTCACAAAGCAACCTCGCCGAAGTGAGAATAAACGATTTCTTATGCAAGTATTGTACGTTTGGTTCATTTCCATGATATCAAATAAACGATTTTGGATCATCAACGAGGTCGCTTGAGTCCTCTATGACCGGCAACTTTGTGTTGTATATCAAATCCAACGCCTCGCCCGCAAGCGATCTCGGTGAATTGAGACGAAATCATTCTTTATACATATATCTTGATAGAGACATAAAGTCTCTTATAAGAAAACATTGCATCAATGCTGAAGAAAGGATTTTAATTACATTAAGGTACATAAAATGCTGTTTTCTCAAAACAGTCAATATAGATATGTACATCTCTAGGATTCTAACTGACAGTACTGAAAGGCCGTTTCTAGTTGAGGTTCAGCAGTTAAAGGATAATTATATTCATTACTTGGACGAGAAGGATCGTATGTTGAAAGGAAGTTGCCAGAGGGACGCTGTTTCGGATGGAAAGCTTTGAGGAATAGAAGAGTGACTAGGGCTGCAAACATTATCTAACATGGTGTTATTACTTATAATCTTATCAATTAAAAGGAGAGTTCTTCGCTCGAACAATCTTATTTGAGCATCAGGCAGTGGCAAGATGTCTGCTGCTGAAAAAGTCTAAAAGTGCCTCTTTCCTTCCATCTTTAGATCCAAGTGATTTTTTTTCGCAACGTAGTATTCTGCGACTGCCTTATCGACATCATTTGAGAAGTACAGAATTTTCCTTTTTTACTACATTGTTTTCTAGCAGTCGGAAGAATTTCGGACAGTTCTGGTTCAGGATTATCAGGCTGCTTGCTGATTTCCGACAGAGAATGTTGTGGTGTTGAATATGTAGATGCAAGAGATTTTGGAGTTGGTGGTAATAGTGTTGATAGAGAGGGAGAGAAAAAATCATCATCTTCAGATTCGGGACGTTCAATAGTTTCAGTTTCAGGAACAATTTTCTCGGTTCTTTTAGTATTTTTACATAAATTACTCCCTCTTCAAGTGCTAAACACACCCATACGTAGCAGAGATGTTAGTAAAGGTAATGACATAGTTAAAGCTGTATGTATACTCCATAACTTCATACGCAAAGGAGAGGGATGTCAATACACATTTCGAAAACTGGAAGAAGAAAACTTTGAAATGGTTGCCCCCCTAACATTGTTCCTTATGGTAGCATCTACTGTGCATCAGCAGCTTTTGAGGTTAGAAACTATTTAGCAAGTTATTTTTTAATGCTGCAAGCATTTCTTCTATGGCAATGGAAATATTGTGTGTAATATTAAATATGTTAACTTATAAGTTATAAACAGCTAATAAATTATTCCCATCTGCTACTTATTATAATATTTTTAATAAAGTTATTTAATACCATTTGCAAATAAACATAAATGTTTTGCTACATACCTGGTAAATTAACTTCTGCAGCCACCAAATGCCACACTTTTTCCGTTTTGTCCTTCCACGAATAGTCTTCTAACGTAAAATCATATAAAAGGCGATGTTGTTCCACACACCCTACAAATTTTACGTTAAACGACTCCATATTTACAGGCAATATAAACAACATTCATCCACTAGCGACTTCGTTGCAGGTTGCACGAGTTGTTTATATCACATGCATCTCCAGTATCGCCAACAGGTTGCTCTTATATCACTCCGTTTGTTTCTTGTACCTGTTTTATGGGAGTCTTTGACAAACATAATTCCCTTGACTATTAAGTAAAGGAACACTCCTTCAAAAAGCTTCAACAATCTGTCTCCATCCACTCCTTTCATGGTACCAGTTAGTTTTGTTTGTTAAAAAGGTTTTTTCAGTATCATTCAGTAGAGTTCTTTATGCTTTCCCACTTCCTTCTTGATCTGTCCCTTGACCTTCAGTTTATACATCAATTTCATAATCTAAACCTCGTCTCAATGATTTTGCCACAACGCTGTTGTGGTTACCTATATTTTCAGAATTATGTGAAACAAATCAACATTTTTTTTGAGTTGGCAAAAAATCATATTTCTCAAATATGACCTCTTTTCTTCACCTATTCTGAAAACCCTTTCGTTGCTCAACTTACTTTCTAAAACTTCATTTTCGCCCACTTCCAGCTTTCATAAACAATTCCATCCGCTACTTCAATTTTTTTTTCTTTAACATCTTCGATTGATTTATAACCTCTTCTTCCTCTATCCTTCTAATCTTCCTTCTCTAACCAACTCTTTAGTAACGACTTTATTTAAATGATATGAAAATCTAAACTTAGCGAAAACAACAACCGCGTTTATGGTATTTTAATAACCTCATTGATTGCCGATGGAATATTGAATTTAAATTAGAAAATGCGCACCGATCCAGTTTCTAAACGGGTTTGGCCCGAAATAATATGCCCGAAATGTAAATTTAATCACCTTCGGTTTATGGCTTGATTTACGAAGGTAATTTTGGAACCTATAACATTTGACTTCGGGTGTAACGTTATTCCTGGATCTCGTTATTTCGATCGCAAACTGTTTTTTGATTGAATGGCATACCAATGGAATGAATAGGCAACTAAATAAACATAAAAAATTCAAACATTGTTTTAATATACATAGAAAAATAAATTAATCTTAATCGTTTAATTATTAAATAATGAATTCTAAATTTTTTTGATTAATATTATTATTTTTGCGGTTACAATAATTGAAATTATATATGATATAATGTAAATACATGTTTTTGGCTTAAGAGCAGGTGGTTTTATTTATAACAAAACCGTGACCGTTTTAACAAATTCGTTTTTCCAGATACGCCTTCCGGCTTGTACCGATAGCGTTGGGGTAACGCACTCAGCATATCTACTACCTATATTATTCCACGGTCCCCTCTAAAAGCAGTTTATCGCTGAATTTCGTTGCGCCACATTATGTTGGCTGAACGACGAGCTATCAGACAATTACAATTATGCGACCCGACCGTTTTTGGAGATTTGGTACTCACCTGCCAAACACCCACGTCGACAACATCCCTTTTGGATAATAAACCGCCCACGCCAGTGATAATAAACACCGAAACCACAAAGTTTACGCCACCTTCACCTGTTATTACCAAAGCAAAACATAGTAAATTGAAATTGCCTAAAATAAGAGAAACGGAAATAATTGAAAAATCACCTGAAATTGAAAAAAGAAGAGCTTCGAAATTAGTGGATCAACTTTTAGTGGATATTTATAATAATCATTCGGGAGTTTGTACGGATTATTATTCGGGAACTTCAGGAAAATCTCAAAGAAATTATAGGATCGATTCAATCAGTTGTGATGTTTTGCAAAATCAAGGTAGGTTCAATCAATTATAATTTATAATACGCTTTTGTGCATTTAGTTTGTTTAACTTGGAATTTTAATTATATGTTTACATTTAACCGTATTTAAAAACTATGGTTATTATTAATTACAGCTGCAATAGATTTGTTCGTTATCCAACAGGATGCGGTTTGTTCGCAGATAAGCCCAGTTAAAATTATATAAATGAACTTAATAAATTGGGTAAACCGGCACCTATTTGTTTATTGGCAATGTAATAAACGAAAAATATGGAGCGAGAGATAATTTATGTGTGACACACCACTTCACATTATACGATAAGAGAGAATGTTGCCACAATTAAATTTGTTTACTACCATTCGGTTCATTTTTATTAAGATTTATATACACGGGTATTTTAATTATTACATGTAAAAATGTATGCCCGCTCTTGAACAAAGTAAATAGAAACAGTTATTAATTAAATTTAATCTCGTAGTGCCTCGAAAGTGGAAAAGCAAATTGCAAGTTCCAACTAGACCACTTCAGTTGAAGTCCCAATTCGCTTTAGTACATACACTTTTAGAACACACTTCTTAATTAAATTTCAAATTTTTTTATTTTATTTTATTTTCTACTTATTGTTATTTATTTTTTTTTTATTTATTTGGGCATTGTTCTTATGAGACGTTGAATTATAGTTAATTGTTAATTAATTTTATTAATGTGAATTAATTTGCCGCTAGATATTTTGAGGCTATTTTGCATTAACTGAGTTCCAATATCTTACACTTTGAAATAGTGCTCACTGACTTTAAATTGCTCCTCAATGCAGTTTCTAACCACTTTGTATAACTCTCAATAGCCCGCAGTATATATCAATATCATTTAACAGACCCAACCTAACCAAATTAAGCCAGTTGTCATAACTTTTGCAATGGCAAAAGAGTCGTAAAAGTGATACGTTATTTTGTATATGAGAGTAACTACGCCGAAATTCAATATTATACACATTACAAGAAAATATGATCTTACTAGTTAAATAGTGAAAACAATGATAAGTATTAATTCGTTGAAAAATCCAAAATAATAAGATTAGTTTCCATGTCAGCACTATTTACCTTCCGCTTTTAATGAATTTTTACCTCTCAATGTCTTCTAATTGCTTTCAATAACGATCTACGCACCTCATTATCTCTCATTAACCACAAATAGCTCTCAATAATATTTGCAATTACTCCTTACCAGATGCACCCAATATCTTTAATTTTTTAATAACAATTTTTTTTGTTTCTCACTACATCTCAATGGCTTCAAATTGTTCAAAATGATTCCCAACAATTTTTACTATGCCAATATCTCATTTAGTCCCATTTAAGAACCAAATGAGTGTGAATAATAGCCAACTGCTCTCAGTAACTTGCAATGTAGAAAAACTTAACAAGTTATAACAGATTCAAATATCAGGCATACGCACATTCTCGTCTATCAGAATTCACTTAAAGCAGCATTTCAAAGGAATTATAATCATGCATTAAAGGAACTGAACCCAACCCAAAAATTTTTTTTAATTGATAGTAATCATAATTCTTCTTCAATGGCTCTACAGACCGTTATCGATCCCTAGCCTCTCTCAATTTTTGACTCAAAGACTTTCTGTTCATGACCACTTTTTAGACCCAAGTACAGTACAAGCTCGATAATCGAGTTTTACTATAAGAGAAAACAAAAAAAATAATGATCAATACTGTATTAAATCATTAAATTATTGGAAAGTAAATGTAAAATAGTTATAAAAAGAAATGATTATGTTACTTGTTAATGACGTATCAAGGAATTTGTCAATTGTTGACTGTTTTTTACAATAATAGATTTTATGGAGTATATTTTCTCTCAATTTCCTCAGTGTTAGTAGAATATCTGCAGATTGTTTATTGTCTTCGGCCCAAAGGATATTGAGATCAATTGCCTTTAATGCGTCCTCAGATTTCACAGAGTTCACTTGAAGTTTGAAGGCAACTTCTTCTACATTACCATTGTTTGATTCATTACTGATCACTTTATTTATTAATGTAATCATAATCTTCTGCAAACCACTCGTCTATATCTTCCTCTGTGAAGTTTGACTTTTCTTCTTGATTTTTTAGCATACTCTTCAACTCTGCAATTGAGAACTCGTCTTCTAAATCCCATTCACCTTCTACTTCATTCTTATTTAATGATGGCCACAACTTCTTCCAAGATGTTTTAGTGACATCATCTTCTCGCAAAACAGCATTGACCAGGATTTTTTTTGTAATTAGGCTTTATCATTTGGATCACATTCTGGTCCATAGGCTGAAGCAGAGGTGTGCAATTATGAGGTAAAAAAAGTGTTTGACCATCTCTTCAAGCAAAATTTTCATTAGGCCCATGTACAGGTGCGTTGTCTAAAATAAGAAGCTCTTTCGGTGGAAGATTCTGGCTCTTCAAAAAACGTCGTACTTCAGGGACAAAATCATTATGAAACCATTCTATGAGTACTTCTCTGGTTACCCATGCTTTGTTTTGGTTTTTATAATCGAGTGTATCAATACAAACTTGACATTATGCGTACCATTAGCATTGGCACAAGGCATAATGGTAACTCTATCCTTGGACACTTTCCTGCCTGGTGCTTCTCATCATTTGCCTGCAGGATTCTTCGGCATCCCGTCTTATTCACCTTAAGATGTTAATATCGTTGGCATAGGCCACCACCTTTTATTTTAATTTTTCACCAACAACGTTCAATTATTTCCAACCTAACATACCACCTTGGACAAGTGCTAATATATTAATCTACCCGATTGCTTGAATCATCATAATGGTCTTCCATCATCATGGGATCTGATTACAACGCTGGCTATATTCATCTCTCAGGACTAAGATTTTTTTTGGATATGATCAAGGCGACCACACAAGAAATCTAATTGATACTCGGAGATTGATACTCTATATCAAAGACAATAAGAGGATGAAGAAACTTACAAAAACTCTTTAGTGTTATCTAAGTCATAAGCAAAATATAAAACCAGTTTAATTCTTTATCTCATCTCTAACTTCATTTCTTTCAATGTGCAGCAGCTCTTGTATATGTTTATCTATTATTTGGTTAGAAAATGCTACCAAAAACTCTTGTGGTATTTTAAAAGACGAAAACCAAACTATGAAATTTATCTATATACAGGGTTAGTTATTAGTATCCCGGCGGACGATAGTTGCTAAACCGTTTGAGAAAGAAAAAAATGCTTTGTACAAGAGTTGTTTGACTCACCACTTTCTATTATGTAAAATTATTTTCACTTATACAGAATGTTCCATTTAGACGTAATATGTCCACTGCAGGATCTTTTTAAAAACGATGTAAAAACGACATTGTTCCCAATTTTGCCTTGAAACTATGTCAGATAATAGTCAAAGCCCGTAGGTAAATGATAGTATCCAAAGGTATTAGATATGCTATACAACGTGTTCATAAAACTTAGTTACTTTTGATGTTTTTCAAATGACTTTTTCATAAGTTTTTTAAATAGAACATCCTGTATATTGTGTGCTGGTTGAATTGCCTATCAAGTTACCTTTAATTAATAATAAGTATGTCATATATCTAACTTTAGTACTTTTCCTGATATTTAGAATTTAAAGAATAATGTATAATAAAATATGCGTAATTGTACATTGAATATTCTGTCTATTTTTATCAGTTTTTTTTGTTCTTTCTTTATTATTTGATTAATATTTTATAATGGAAAATAATTTTGCTGCCACATACCAGATTTTAATGCGACTTGGTACTTTATCAGATTTAAAAAGATGTAAGTAATAAAATATGCAATTGTTCTGCCATACAGTTTACGACTTTAGAGAAAATGAGATGTACATGTTAAGAGATACCTTAAGATCTTTTAAACAGCGCATTAATGCTTGTTGAAGAGAAAATGGGCGGCATTTTGAACAGCTTCTAAATATTAATTAAATTAACATCTATTTGTTGAGCAACGTTTAATAATCGTTTATAGTTTGTTACTGAATTTCCTTCAAATAATTTACTAATTAAAAAAGGGATTGATTGTTCTGCGATTTAATTGTATTTTTATCACGTTTTGATTTATTTATTAAATTTTTTTTTAAATTGTATTTTAATATAATATTACTGATTTACAAATGACAGACAGACAAAAAAGTAAAAACAGAAAAAAAAGGACAGAATATATTACATTCTGCCACTTTTTTAAGTACAATAATGACATTTTAGTACACATTTTTCTTTAAATTCTAAATATCAGGAAAATTATTAAACTTAGGCATATGACATACTTATCATTAATTAAAGGGAACTTGATGAGCAATCCAACTAGCATACAATATACAGGTGTACCATTTAAAAAACTTAAGGAAAAGCCACATCAAAAATAATTAAGCTTTATAAACAACTTGTATAATGTATCTAATATCTTTGAATACCATCATCTACCTACTGACTTTTACTATTGACACTATGACGTAGTGTCAAGGCAAAATCGGAAAAAATATCATTTTTACATCGTTTTCAAAAAGATCCTGTAACAGGTACATTTTGGAAGAACAATTGAATACCTCAGGAACTATGAACGCTGTGAAATAGTAACATATACGATTGTATAAACAAATTCTATTTAAATAAATTTACGTACTCTCCGTTACGCTTAAATGGAACATTCTGTATAAGTGAAAATAATTTTACGTAATAGAAAGTGATGAGTCAAACAACTTTTGAATAAAATATTGTTTTGTTTTTCAAATGGTTTAGTAACTATCGACCGCCGGGATACTAATAAGTCACCCTGTATACATAGCTTTAAGAGGGTGTATTTTGAATAGCTTCATGATAAACCGTATTTAGTAACAATGCAACATATTGCAAGCTTATAAACCATGATGATGCCTTGCAATTTCGCATTTTGAGTCTTTTATACTCAAATTCAATTATTTGTTATGCAATCTTGCTCTGAGGTTTCCTAAGGTGACATTTACTAAAACTGATTCTTGTAAAAATGTTGCTTTTATAATATTTACAGCAAATTTTCTGCCATTATCAGATTGTTTTTTTTATTTTTTGCTAATTCAGCTGCTTGTCATTATCGATTTTGATTTAATTCCAAATATTAAATTTTATCAATGTAATTAATAGCATTTTTATCATGCGTGCTTACATGAGCACATATATTATACAAACGTAATACTAAAAATAACAACACTTTCTCTTTATTTACTTCGTGTAAGCGAGAAAGTTAAAAACTCAGGAATATTTTTCAGCGTGCCTGTAACGGGGGTTAAAGAAGCAATCGATAACTGTTTTAGGGCAGCCGATGCCATAAACACGGATTTAAATCTAAAAATACAACGATCTCGTATTTCTACTCTAAATTCAACACAGTTCCGAAGATTTTTCTTTAGTTGTGTGTACAAAGTTGTGAAACGTTCCCATAGATTGCAATTTTAGAAACTTTATCTACTTCTTTTTCTCATTTTTTTTTATCTTCTTTATAGTGCTTCGTATAATTAAAAAAAAAGCTGAGTCATATCTTGTGTATACTACGAGATCCAAACTCGTTTTGTTTTACTAGCAACCCTCTTCATAAAGAAGCTAGAGAGCACTTGCGTTAAGTGAGTTCAAACTGACAGAGATAGATGGTGTTATTATCACTGCGACGAAAACACTACACTAAAAGATTAAAAAAATTCATCAATGCAAGTGCGATGATGAAATAAAAAGTGTAAAAGTAAAGTCATTTTAGTAAATTTTTAAATTTTAGGTGTAGAAGAAGTTCGTGTACTAGTGTCGGTCCTGCAGGAACATGTTAATCGCGTCGGAAGTATCCTTGTGCGCCAACTGAAACGCCGCGACGCTCTGCGGCGCCAGCGAGAAATCCTATGTGACGTCATAACCATCCACCTCTCTGAACGTAAGTGCAAAATCAATACAAAAGCCGGTATACGAGATAGGATACGATTCTCCCCCCGCGCGATGTCAGAAAAGGACGAAACGTAAGCTCCTCCTTCAGCACAATATCAGTGTGCACCTGAAGTGTGTACAGCAGTTCGGTGCCTGAAGCGTGAGAGGTTAACGTGTTTTCGTGTCTTGCCATGCACACATGAGCGGGCTTATAAGCACGATTAAAAAGGCAGCCGCTACCACTGCTGCCACCAAAATTAATAGTAAGTTTTTGATAATTAAAAAAAAATAAATATGGTACTTTATTAATTTTCTTTTATAAATTAAAGGGCTTATTTATCGCGTGCTAAAAACCATTGATAACAATTTATCTGGAAGTTGTATCAAGCTTCTAAATTTAGCGTGCACAATAAAATTATAAAGCAATTATTTAGGGTTGGTTTATGTCCCATCGATGCATTCATTCTTATCCAACGACCATTTAAATTTAACTACTACATTATACAACGTTATAGATACCTCTTAAAATTCCTTTTAACCATTTAATTATTTCATTACACTGTACCAAAATTATCCTGATTAAGGACCTTAACTACTTGACTGTGAGTAGTAAGTTATCAATTTAGTAACCGGTTGAAACTCTGCAGTAACAAACACCCGAGAGACACAGTTTGGTGCCTTGACAATAAATCTCGGAAGTTTGTCACTTATACGCTGTTAGTTTGCATCGCAGTAGCAATAAAATTGATCTATAGTCGTCCGATCTATTTTTAGCTTACACGCCGCAGACTTTTTATGCGTTTCACCGTAAACCGATTCTATGTCTGGCTTCTCACTCCATTGATTCATAAACGGTTAACGATGTCGTTAATATCAGCACTATTTTTATCACTAGTTGCTATAAAAAAATCATATTAACGAATTCTTGGTCCATTTTCGGACTTAAAACGAATTGTAGATATCATATAAAGCACCAAAATACACGCACCAGCGATGGTCTTCCACACAAAAGGAACTCACATTGACGGTAAAGTTTGAATAGGGACCCTTTCATGTTATCGTACCCAGACAGGTGTTAAAATTCATTTCCCCACGGAGGCATTCGGTTTCACATTCCGTAAACGAATATGTACATCGCACGTAATTTAATACAACTTTCAAGAAAATTTTATTCTAAACTAAACATGTATCATATAACCATATTTAAATTACTTCGAAAACTTAATTACGATTTAGTCTTTAATTAATCTTCCGCTTCAACGATTTCAGGCGGCACAAAATCAGAAGACATGAGATTTTCCATTACACCGTTGCCTGGTGAATCAGGATTTTCCCAATGGCATTCTGCCATGAAAATGGTTGTACAACTTCCCGAAGGAATACCGTCCGAGTTTCGGCGAACGTTATGGCTGACCCTCGCCGACAGACACTTGACGTCCCGACGGATAGACTGGGAAAAAGTCGAAAGGAATTGTTTTAGCGAATGGTCACATCCTGCTGACGCCGAACTCGGGGTACAAATCGTTAAAGATTTACACAGAACTGGCTGTAGTTTGTTTTGCGGAGAAGATGGACAAGAAAATCAAGCATTGCTCAAAAAGGTGCTTTTAGCTTATGCAAGGTGGAATAAAAATGTTGGTAAGTAAATAATTTATTTGTATCTCTTTAAATTTATTTTTGAAACGTAATTTAAAAATCAGTGTGTTATAATTGAAATTCATCAATGTAAAAATTACTACTTTTGATGCTTATAAATTTTATTTAAACTCATTACAACAGAATATTTTAACCTTATATGTAACAGATGTAGATTTCAGTCAAGTTTAACGCCATCGTATTCTCCGCTATTTTTACACCAAATACAAAAGGCAACTTCTCTATTGATCCTTATCAATCTATATTCCGTAATCATCATACGGTTCAACGAGCGTTTTTGTACCTTTTATCTTTCGTACACCATCAATATTTAATACTTGCATTCAAAGAAACAAAAATGGTCGTATAGTGATACAAGAAGATACAGAAAATACTACCTGTAGTAGTTACATTTTTTGATCCCTATTTGAAGATCATAATACCCATATATATGCATTCATGAGTATACTTATTACAGAAATGAGTTCTAAGAGACTTTTTCCATGGCAATAAAAATGGAAATGTAATAGGCATCGTAAAATTTTCGGTTAAATGTAGTGTTGGATCAACTAAAATAAACTTATGGACTTTGGGTCACCTCAAGACGGTTTAAGTTTGGAGTTTATAAACCTCAAGTCATGCGGCGATGTTGAGTGACATCGTAGACAATTTCGAGGACGTAGACATTGTTAAGAATGCAATCGACGATGTGTGATGTGACGCAGACAGGTCGAGACCTCAAAGCTGCTAATATATCTTCTTATTCTGTCCTGTCGCGTTTAGTTGCATACCATGCAAAGACAACGAACTTGCAATATATTCCACAAACATCCTTGTAATAATTTTCAGAAAAATCTTTAATGAAACTCTTTCGAATAGCTAACCTCTTTTTTCCTCTTAAATATATAAACAAATTTAAATTTAAAAAGTGTTAATAAAATATATTCCTATAACCAAATTGTTTTCGCAGACCTTTGGAAATGTAACAAAATATCGATTAGCTTTAAGCTCAAGGTCATGAAATCGTCGACGCAGCGATCAGAGCAGCATCTAAAACGATACTGCGGAGATTTACTTCTGGTTATTCTTCTGTATTTGGAGGATATCAGGGAACTAAAGATGTTGACAGATATTAAGAATGATGTTTAGCTATATCAATCACGACGTTGGTAGATGATTAAAGTTGGGGAAATTGATGATGTGGGCGAATGCAAAACTCGTTATTGTGGATATCAGAAACGATGTCAAGATATATCAGAGATAATATGATTAGATTATAGAATTGATGTTAAAGGAAACCATTATAGAGGTAAACGATGAGATGTTAAGAGAACCCAGAAGAGTAGTGACAGATAATAGGGACAGCATGTCAGAAATAATGTTAAAGGTTGCCACACATGGTATTGAGGTATGATGTTGAAGGATATCAAGGATATCATCTTGATAGTTGATCAGGAAAAAGCTAAGGGAAGCCAGCATACTGTTGAGATATCCCTGACAACATAGAGCAATGTTGTAGATGATGTTACAGAACCTCGGGGACGATCTTAGAAGATACCAGGGAATATAAGTTGAAAGATATCAAATATAATGTTTATCAATATCATGGACGGTTCTAATAGACTATGAAAAAGAAAGATATGGAACAGGCTAGAATAGTAGAATGATTTGCTAAAGATAATGTTAGAGGATATCGAGGACGATTTTGATAAATGATGAGATATGATATTGGGCAACCTCAGTGATGATGCTGATAATACCGGTAATGATGTTGCGAGATATAATATTTAACAATATCTTGACCAATGTTAATGAATGATGAAAAAATATGAAAGAAAGCAAGGACTATACAGGGTAATTCAAATTCGATCCGCACCATTGGGATCTCAGAAACCATAAGAGACATAGAAATTGTTAAATGGGGGCAAAGTTGCATATCTTAAAAAAGCATTTTTTTGTTTTTCTGCCATATTTTAAAAACTAAAACGGCTAGATCCAAAAACTTAGTTGAAAAATGATGAGCTCTAAGATACGCAACTCTGCCCCCATTTAACCATTTCTGAATCTCTTATGGTTTCTGAGATCCCAATGGCGGGGGTCGAATTTGAATTACCCTGTATAGAGACATGTTAAAGATAATGTAGATTTAGGCCATATACTGTATTGAGGAAGGCCAGCGATAGTACGGAAGGATATCAATGATGAACTAGATGTCAAGGGAGTCGCAAACAGTGTTGAAAAGTAACAGGGACATACATAGAGTGATATTGTATATGATGTTGCGGAAGTTCGGAGACGATTTTAAAAAATACCAAGCACGATATTGCAAGATATCAGAAATGATATTGAGAAATACCAGTAATGATGTTGAGAGCTATCAGATATGATGTTTCATAATATCATAGACGATGTTGATAGATGGCAATGTATTGTAGATAATCTTGAGGAAAATTAAGGACGATGTTGCAGGACATCAAGGACGATGTGACACAACTTCGCGACTTGGATTCTAGTTATTTATTATGTTGAGTATGTATGTTTGAGATTCTCTTTTACATGTCTTGTGATATAACATAATAGTCGATATCTGGGTACTGTTCAAATTTGTCTGACAGTTTTCTCCATTAGTAATTTTTTTTTGATTTTGGTTTACTTTAAAATCCACCCATCTAAATGTAAAGTGAGTCATAGTTCCATCCATCGATCTGAAAAAGTCGCTTCTCTGCCGACGAAACATATTGCGGCTTTTATACACATTTCTTTATCCCAGACATATACAGTTACCCCCGACCACCTCCTCCAGCCTCCTATTCCAATGTTTGTATACTCCACCGTGTTTATATTTACGTTCGCGAAGTAACTACAATTCAAAATGGTAGAGAAATCTTTTATTTTAAAATAATTAAAAGCACAATTCTATCTTTTTCATAATTTTGAAGTTTATCAGAGATTTCTTGTATTCAATTTTCTCGACTAGTTCCGATTCCAACATTTCTTCCAACCCCAAATTTTGTATATTTTCTATTGAGTGGATGACTCAATCGCGACTGCATCATATAGAAACTTCAGGATTTAATTACCAAATTGTTCTGATTGCTGAAAAACAACGAATTTAACATATAATCATTCCCACGCAAACCTTACATCATGCGACTACTTTCAACAAAACGTATAATAGCAAACCAAATCTTGCAAAGATTAGAATAACCTTGACATATACTAGATTTTTCGGGCTTAATAGCAATCTATACGATAACCAACTATGCTTTATAACTATATTCTTTTTAAAATTGTTGACGTTATCATTCCACAAAAACTCCTATCTTGCATTTCAGTAATCAAAAACGTACACGTGAAAACGTGTTAAGCGTCTAGGTTAAGTATCTTAAACGTTGGTGATTCCATTTTAGACATATCTGGGGGATGCTGAAGTACTTCATATCTTCATTTGCTTGGCACTAGTATCCAAAGTGCTACCGTACTACCTCAGCGTAGAGGACTTCAGTGTTCAAAAATGCGCTGTCTTCTTAAATACTTAGGTGTAATGTTAGACTTCCAGAATCCCAGCAATATCATTGTCTCGGGAACGTGAGCGTGGTCTAGAAATTATTAGGAAGTAGAGCTTTTTATTAACCGATTGGTCCCGACCTTTAAACAGGTTGAGGTCATTTTAAAACATTTCAGTGGTTCGCAGTCCGAGAAGACGTGCCTAAGTTTTTTAGATGTAGTTGGACTCTGAGTGGTATTTGATAAAACGCTAGATGTAAGAACGTCTTAAAATTAGTCTCACAGAAAAGATACTTAAATCTCGATTTGTCTTTCGTTTTTAAGTGGACTGAATAATGGGTTTAAAAATTGATTGCACATTTGGTACCATAAAACTTTATGTTGTGGTTCCCATATAATACCAATAACGTTTAATGAACAATATAACGTTTAATAAACTATCTTATATCGATTCAAAAACGAATGTGTACGTTTATAAAACTTTTTAAAACAATAAACATTACGACGTTGTAGAAATAATAATCCATTAAGACCTGACCTTTGGACTTCATTACAATTCGATGCATAATGCATCAATTCCACTAACCGACAACTGAAAGACAAACGATTACTGCAAAACAAACACTGTTTAACATCTAACGTTCATAAATGAACACTTTGTAAAGCTCTACGTTCTAACAAAAACGTAATTTAACGTTCCATTCTATTCTCCTTGTTGTGGTATCTCGTGTCACGGACATAAAAGGTGTTACATAAGACCGTTGATGTACTTTTCTAATAGAGAATAATGTTAAGGGATTTTGTTGTTTTATAACAAAAAGAACACGTGCAACAAATCGAAAACCTAATCTTATCTAGAAGTTCATGACGTTATAAATTTTCTGAATTAAACCCTCACATATTGTGGAATAAACCTATTTATGGGATCCCGAAAGCCATATAAATACCGATTAATTTGATCAATAACTTGAACCCACGAGTAGAATCAAGAATTGCGTTCTTATTTTACAGGTTATTGCCAAGGATTTAATATGCTCGCCGCGTTGATACTTCAAGTGACGGATAAATGTGAAACGGACGCCTTAAAGTTGATGATTTACCTTATAGAAGGGGTTTTACCGGATTCTTATTTCGCCGATAGCCTACGTGGTCTTTCTGTGGATATGGCAGTCTTTAGGGAGCTTTTACGAAGCAAATTACCGCGATTGTCACGCCACTTAGACACGCTCCAGAAGGCTGCGAAAGACGGCAGCACCAGCTATGAACCTCCACTGACGAATGTGTTCACGATGCAATGGTGAGTAATTGAAAAAGTCTCCGATTATCCAACATAAAAAGTGTCAACTCCAGAAAATGTCATCGTACTTGGGAAGCTTTCCAATTTAATTTCCTTACAATTTCCTTATACCTCGGTTTACAAATTAAAAAGTTTTTTTTTTCTTAAGACAACATTTTTCCATTTAAATTTAAATTTTTTATGAAAGCTTCTGCAAATTTGAATTTATTACGTTGTCTCTTAAATGAAAGTTTCGGAACTCGGAAACGCTAACAGCAATAAAGTACCTGAGCGTGTAATGAACTTGACCTTTATAACTCCTACTACTTTTACAAAGGACTACTTTAAGCTTTATAAATTTTAATACGTAATTTATTATTTATAATTTTAAAGTTGTTTTATTATTTCAGGTTTTTAACTCTCTTCTGCAATTGCCTTCCTCAAGAAGTAGTCCTACGTGTTTGGGATTTAATATTACTGGAGGGAAACCAAATCTTATTACGAACAGCTTTGGCGATTTGGCAAGCTTTAGAAGATAGAATAATGGGAGTAAGAAGCGCGGATGAGTTTTATTGCATTATGGGTGTTCTCACGAGGGAAATGTTGGAATTTGGATTTGTTGACGCGAATTTACTCATAAAATCAGTTGTCCAAATCGGACCTCTAACAGAATTAAAAGGCCTTCGAGAACATTACCTTTACAACATCAATCCTTGGTCAACGAGCCCCTCTCAATCCGGTTACGAAGACGGCGATAAACAACTCAACATTTACCCCAAAGAAAAGTTAATGTTAGATATAGGAGTGTTAAAGAAACAATATTGCAAATTAAAACAAAGACAAAGGCAAGCTCACATAATTATTAGTGCGGCGGTTTCGAGGCAACCTCCAAGATCAGCGCCTGTAGCAATTAATCACCTTTTACTAGGTAGAAGTGCTTTAGTTCCTGTAAAAAGAGTTGGGCCCCCAAAAGGAGCAGTCCCCCCACCGAGAAAATCAGGTTCAACAATTCAATGGAAAGATGAAGCCAAAAAAGGATCCTCAAGCTCATCATCATCCGACACCGAATTATGCGATGACCCCACTAATAAATCATCAGAAGACGAAGTAGAACCTTTAGATGAACATGAAATTCAAGAAGAACCAGTTGAAGAAACCGCGGTTAAAGTAAAAGTAGCGGTTGAAGAAATAACCGCAACAAACAGTGATAATAAAGTGCTTATGACCAGTGACAATATTGAAATAGCCGTCGCTGAATCAACTCAAGAAGTTAACAATGAGGAATTTAATCTTTGTGAAAGTTTAGATGTCGAGAAAAGTAACGAACACAGTTTAGTTTCGGACGATGGATTTGATTTCGAAAAGTTTCTAGAGGAACGTATCCGGTTTATGAAGCAATCGAGTGTGTGTAGTGAAGAAAGTGTTGACATGTCTAATGAACTAGATCGTGTGTCGAGCGCCCGAAAGAACAGCGAGCGTGCCTTAGAAATTATCCAAGAAAATTCCTTAATATTGCATCGAATCCTTCAGTGTCAGTCGAGATATTCGCCAATTCACCTTGCGGAGGATAACGTTTCTGAATTCAGAAATACTCCTTCACCATTGCCTTTGAATGAATCTGATTCTAATACGATAATAGAGAATCCCGAAACGTTTCAATTTAACGTTTCACCCATCGAAACGCCAAATTTAGATTTAGGAGATAACCCCGCTTCTTCACCTACACACAACATACGTAAAAATTACGAAGAAGTAATCGATCCCGTATCAAAATACAAAGACATATTGGAAATAAGTAAAAATTTAGATGAAAAATACAAAGCTTTGATATTAGATCAACCTCCGGTGATGGCTAAAACAACTATTTATACAAGACCAAGTGATTTACAGCTGCCTTCGAGTGAAATTGATTCTTCATCGATCGCGGAAAAGAAATCATCACCTACTTTGAGAGTAATTGGAAATGTTAGTAGGAAAAACTCTCCAAGCAGGAGTAGTCCGGATGAAGGTGCTCAAAAATCTCCCTCCCAAGCATATAATCCTTTTCCAGTAAGATTGAGCACCAGACAGAATAAAGACGTAGCAGTTAAACTGGGTCTTTATAAAAAATGACTAGTTTTTATTACGTCTAATGGTATTGTTAAACAAAACCAAAGACTGTCAAGTTTTATCCTAACATAATTCGCAGCAGCCAAACGTAGTTTACGTTTTTAATAAAAACCCTTGCGATAAAACCCCTACAGATCGATGAGAAGTAGGAATAAAAATTTGAGATTTAATACCGAAAAGTATTATTGATTTATAAATCAGGATAAATAGGTATTAGTAAATACATGGTGAGAAAATCAAATCGTACTTTAATTAAAACGGGATAGTGCAAGCAAAAAAGTTTCAATTAAAGCGCTTTACGCGTAGTGGCACTTTAGTTGATGACCTAGCCAATTTTTTTCCACACAAACTGTCACTTTAAATTGAGACAAATAATAAATGTTACATGATATACTAGTACTGATAAACGTTACGTAACTGAAATTGATACCTATTTGTACGTTTCAGTTGTTTTTAAATTTTCCGTGCTTATTTAAATTGTATATTGCATCATCTATTTATGCGCGTTTCGTAAATATTGTTAATCAATTAATTGAGAAATTCGAGAAAGATCCATTTGATTTTGTATCGTTATGAAAATCGTGCATTTTGACACATTTTAATTAACTGCATGGTTCTGACACATTGCAATTTTTAATGGTTATCTTGTTTTTACACGCGTTATTATACACATCCTGTGTGAAATTTTGTTTTTGCAACTCTTCATTAGTCTAAAAATGAAGAGTAATCTCATTTTAACCAACCTAATTTCTTAACTGTCGTTATATCTAAAAAATCGAGTAATTCGACACATTTCAATTAATTTCTCAGCTTTATCACTTTGGCAATGCAATTTTTAAGTATTATCTTATTTGTTACACATATTGTTTTCCCCGTGCTATGTTTCGAATTTGCAACTCTTCATTTTCAGGATGGTCAGCATGCCTAGTTTCGTTACATACAAGATATTTTGAATTTCAGGACATATTAATTAAATGCTCGATTCGGACACCTTTCAGATTAGATTTTTTAACATTGCCTGGTATCTAGCACATATTAGTAGTTTTGTGTAAAGTTTCGTTCTTTCATTTAAGGGGTTGGTCAGCACTTCTACTACCGTTATTTCTAAGAAATTGTGAATTTTAATTATCTACTCGGTTCCGCCTCTTTTTCGGAGGAATTTTGTTGTTGGTGAGACATTTCAGCTTTTCAACCCATCAGTTTAGGAGTAATTCAAGAAATATTAAGTGTGACCTGCTGTCTTGCAGAAAAAATAAATATTGTATCCAGAATCGTTTTTGTTATTACAATGTCCATAAACGAAGAGTCGAGAGTGTAATGCGTGATAGCATATTCTTCAACCATTTTCGCGATTTTCTGCCAAACTGCACCGTTTATTATTTTCATTGTATGCTCTCATTCAGCTTTTAATAAATTTAAATATCAGTTTACACTTTCCACGGGTTTTTGCATTTAAATTGCCTACTACCACGATCGCCGATCATATAAATATCCTTCAATGTACCTGTCTTCAAGTACAGCTTCTTTTCTCTTTGGTAAAGGTGTCTGTTCAGATCTAGATGAAGAGGTTGGCGATACTTGCAATGATTTGGACGGCAATAGTTGGAGTTCTTGATCATTGATAGTTCACCATAATACATCTTCAGGTTTTTCAATACGATCATCTTGTATCACAGATTTTTTTTTCTAGGATTTGTGGATTTGACTTAGTAGTCTAACCTGAGGTGGTTCTCCACCTACTTTCTGTTATCTTATATCTTTAGTCATAACATCTTTTACTTTTTTCTGTCTGAAGTACTCAGTGCTTTACGTTTGATTTATTGGTATTTGTCTCCTTTTACTTAAATGGTCCTCGAGGTATCTTCTTTCCGGCTAGTAATTACTAGCCGGTTGGCCATAGGCCTGTTTTTTATAACCACCGTGGTGGTTCCTGTGAGCATTTTAACCTCAAGGCCAGGCAGGTGGCTAACCTTATCTGTAGAAGAAGTTTTTCTTCCATAGCGACACCAGAGATGTTCGACTGGTGCTGGGACCAACGGCTTAACGTCCCCTCCGAAGGACTGTAGACTCGATATCTTTTATTATTTGCTTTGTGCCTTTATGTGCTTTGCACCATAGCGAAGATAATTATGACAGTGACTTACGGGAGCTATATAATGGGTGTTGTATACATTAAGAAATGGAAACATAATTCCTTTGAACTGACACATTAGATGCTGTAGTTTTAAAGATACAGGAATACCTATCTCGGGCAGCCCGCTTTCCAAATACCATAATAACAGATTTTGCAGGACTAACTTGCTGAGTTTCCATGAAATCAGTCAGATACTTTTCCGTAACATTACTGAATTATCAGCACAAATGCAACAACCAAACATATGGCAAAATGTAATAGAGGAGTTGAAAATTTCGAGGTAAAGAAAAACCAATATTCGTAAGTTGTCTGTTTCGTCCAAGATATCATATGAGTTAATATTATTTCATAACCATGATGCATACGAAGCCCGGACTATGTATCATATTTACCAATAAATATTACAAATCCATAATTTATTATCCATACCTTTTTGCAAAACTTCGAACTATGCTTAACTATGCTATACCCTGTTTCTTTCAGTCGAAAGCGCATAATTTATACTACAAATGATTTCATAATTATTTATTTCTGCAAAAAGATTCAGGAAGATTGGTCACGTGGTTTTTAAGATATCGTGTCCAAGAACTGTAAAAACGTAGTTTTGAGAAAATCTAAAAAAATCTATTTCATCTCAAAGAATTCACAACTGCCATATTGCAAGATTCGGTTCCTAGCTCCCACAACATTCTCCATCTAGGAACAATACAATAGCCAGATAATAGTAGTATGGCCAAAAAACACTTTATTTCATCATTGGAAACTCGAAAATTAAGTTCGCCCTTTTGTTGTGCATATAACGTCGTAATTTCTGCCAAAAATGATATAATACTATCATCAAGAAAAAGCTCAAACCATTTCACCGGATCAGAAGGAATGCGTCGGTTTCTCAAAGTTCGGACACCCATGAACAAGATCGGATTTTTTCCAGTTTCTTTTTTTCGGTAACTTCTTTTGTATTTCTGACAAAGGTTCGTCGTCATTATTTGACTCTTCGTCAGTGTCGCTATCACCAATTGTGAAAATCCGTCCTTGATTTGTAATTTTCGCTTCACCTTGAAGCTGTTGACCATCCAGCTTATTGATGTCGTTGCAGAACTCTTCATTGAAGCTATCTTGAGCACTTTCAGCACCATCATCTGGATGGGTGATAAAAACATCAGCGGCCCAATAATCCTCTTCTTCTATTATTTGAATGAGTTCTGTAGTTGTGAGTGGTCTGAAATGCTTAAAAATCTTTATAAACCCGTTTATACCCATAGTTCTAATATTGGACCTTTTGAAAAAAAGTGTTTTTTTTTGTACTTATCGTATTTATTATTATAGATGATATATGGAAATGCGTTGAGAATTGTTAGGGCAATAGAGAAATAGAAAATGTCACTTACCTTTTAATAACGTTTTTTTACGAAAGAAGTTTCCAACTATTTCTACACGTTAAAGGCACAATAATTGAACAAAGCGTGGAAGGGAGAAAAACGGAGGTGTTATTATTGGAACTGTGGGAATAAACGGATTAAACTTTCGAATGATAATAACTGATTCTTCTCTGCCCATGAATTATTTCTAAAATGGCATTATGTTCTTCGTGAAACAACTTAGCTTCAATATACAGAAATTTCAATTACTTTGCAAATGTTTAAAAGGTAGGTATAATGTAGGTGCTTTAGGGTTAATTGCCAAACCATTGAGTTGGAGCTTTCATTAGCATTAGCACCCAATTTATTGTTAACATGCATAGGAAAGAAATAGAAACCACTATTAGTGACTCCCTTTATTAAAAAACAATTTTTAAACATTTATTTTATTGAACACATCTCCAACAAAACTCTATGTTTACCATAAAAACCACAAAAAAGTTTACATCGATACAATTAAATCTCAATGCATGATAATCAAATGAATCATCTCAAAATACACGCAAATCCCTGCTTGCATGTAAAATTCTATTTCCTCTCATATATAATATAAAAAATGTACATTTAGATTATCTCACTCCGTATTTCATAATATTAATATTTAATTTGCGTCGTAAACCAAACAGCATTTTCATAATGAACATTTACTGAAATAATTACATTGTTTTAGATCTTATACATATTTCATGTTATTTAATTAATATTCATAAACTCAAAGTACGCACGAGCGTATATGCATTTAAGTATTAAGGGAGATTATTTAAATTAAAAAAATAATATTTTCAGCAACGTTGTAAATAAAACTAATTTAAATAAATAATTTTTTAATTGTAAACGATTGGATAAAAAAAATACTCTCATCGACTGGTGACACCCGCGTTTTTTGAAATTAAACCGTATAAATCCACTGTGATTGTGATAAGGCTCATAATAACGTCGCTGTTTCGTCTATTTTTTATTGAGAGAGTGTCGTCCGTTATGAAAATAGCAAATAATGATATACACATATATTTCTCTAAGAGATAGTTGTTAATCAAATACTGTTCGAATAAATAACAAAAAAAAATAAATCGAATTCATCAATCGTATTTTTAACACTTATTTATCTTAATCCTAATAATTATATTCGGGTAAAATTGGCGGGCAAGTACAAACAAGATGTTTATCTCCGTAAATATCATCGATTCTTGCAACGGTTGGCCAAATTTTTGTTTCCGGTCTTACAAAAGCAGCTGGAAAAGCTGCTTGTTCCCTACTGTAAGGTCTTTCCCAATCACTACTTATAACTTGCTCTTGAGTATGTGGGGCCATTTTTAATGGATTAACTCTCGGATCCAAATCCCCATCTTCAATCGCTTTAATTTCATCTCTAATACAAATCAAAGCTTCGCAGAATCTATCTAATTCTTGTTTATCTTCCGATTCTGTTGGTTCAATCATTAAGGTTCCCGCCACGGGGAAAGACATCGTTGGTGCGTGAAAACCGTAATCCATTAATCTCTTTGCTATATCAGCAGCTTCAACATTAGCGGATTTTTTAAACTCTCTAATATCGATAATAAATTCGTGAGCTACTAAATTTGAAGTGGGGCTTTTAAACAATGTGTGATAGTAAGGTTCTAAAATTGTCGACATATAATTAGCGTTTAAAATCGCTACTTGAGTTGCTTTTCTTAATCCTTTAGCTCCCATCATTTTAATGTAAGCCCATGATATCGGGAGAATTGCTGATGAACCATAAGGAGCTGCACTAACAACGCTGTAATTTTTTGAACCATCACCTAAAGGATTTACAACGGGATGACCAGGTAAGAATGGGGCTAAATGGGATTTAACACCAATAGGACCCATTCCTGGGCCACCACCACCATGAGGAATGCAAAACGTTTTATGTAAATTTAAATGAGATACATCGCTTCCGTAATCACCAGGTCTGCATAATCCAACTTGAGCATTCATGTTAGCACCATCTAAATAAACTTGACCGCCGTTTTCATGAATAATTTTGCAGACATCTGCAACTGTTTCTTCAAAAACTCCGTTAGTTGATGGGTATGTTATCATTAAGCAAGATAAACGAGATTGGAATTTTTCTGCTTTCTCTTTTAAATCGGCAACATCAATTGATCCATCCATTTTTACTTTAACCGCCTCCACACGCATTCCAGCCATTTGAGCACTCGCCGGATTAGTACCATGCGCACTAATAGGTATTAAGCAAACATCTCTATCTGGATTTCCTTGCGCTTCATGATAACATTGTATGGCGCGAAGCCCTGCGTATTCTCCTTGAGCACCACTGTTAGGTTGGAAACTAATTTTATCATACCCTGTAATCTCACATAAATCTTTTTCAAGCTCCGCAAACATTTGGTGATAACCTTTCGTTTGTTCAAGAGGTGCGAATGGATGTAATTCGGTGAAATGCCTCAATGAGCAAGGCATCATTTCAGTGGTAGAGTTCAATTTCATGGTGCAAGATCCCAATGGTATCATGGAATGAACTAAAGAAATATCTTTATTTTCTAAAGTTTTCATATATCTAACGATTCTTGTTTCGGAATGATGGCTGTTAAATACTTGATGGGTTAAATACGGAGATGTTCTGTTAAAAGAACTTTTAGTAATCGAATTTTTAGTAATTTCTGGAGTTTTTAAGACTTCTTCAAACGTTTTTGATGACCCAAAAACATAAAAGATATCGTTTATATCATTAGGGGTAACAGTTTCATCTAAAGCAATCCCAATCGACCCATCATCAAAGTACCGGAAATTAATTTGTTTCTCTTCAGCTCGTTTACGAATTAATGAAACATCTTCTTTTGGATCTACTTTTATTGTATCAAAAAATAAATCATTTCTGATTTTATTAGAATCTTGTTTCAGTCCATGATACAACACCAATGTAGAATTATGAACCTTACTTCCAATATCCTTTAATCCCTGTGGGCCATGATACACAGCGAACATAGCTGACATATTAGCTAATAAAGCTTGAGCGGTGCAGATATTACTAGTCGCTTTATCTCTTCGAATGTGTTGCTCCCTGGTTTGTAAAGCTAGCCTATAAGCGTCTCTCCCAGCAGCATCCCTAGTAACTCCAATCATCCTACCAGGCATTAACCTCACCAACGATTGAATACAAGCGAAGAACCCAGCGTGGGGTCCACCATAACCCAAAGGAACCCCAAATCTTTGTGATGTCCCAACAGCTATATCAACACCAAACTCAGATGGTGGTCTTAATAAAGTTAAAGCCAATAAATCGGTGGCGCAACAAACCAACGTCCCATTATTATGCGCGTTTTCCACAACTTTACTAAAATCATAAATTGTTCCATCTGTATCTGGATATTGAAAAAGAACCCCAGCAATATCCCGATTTGAGAAATCCGCGTTTAAAACATCACAGACTTCTACTTGAAGTTCAAGAGAAGATAATCTTGTTTCAACAACAGAAATCGTTTGAGGGTGTAATTTATCGGATATTAACATTTTTCTTCTTTTATTGTGTCGATAACATAAAGATAAAGCCTCAGCGGCTGCTGTACTTTCATCTAATAAAGAGGCATTTGCTACTTGAAGACCAGTCAATTCAGAAACCATAGTTTGGTAATTTAGAAGTCCCTCTAATCGTCCTTGAGCAATTTCAGGCTGATAAGGAGTGTATTGTGTGGTCCAACCAGGATTTTCAAAAATATTCCTCATGATTGTATGAGGAACGCAACAGTTATGGTATCCCATTCCTATGTATGACCTCCAAATTTCGTTTCTTTCGGAAATAAACCGTATTCTATTTATAAGTTCATACTCGCCTGATAAATAAAAAAAAATTTGTTTATATTATAAATGAAAGATAAGAGGACCTCCTGTGAACAATTATCGCAAGTGACTTTTAACATTTAACCTTTTTATTGATTAAAAATAGATGTATGATGAAATTTAATAATATAAAAATATGTTTTTTTACTTACTTTCTGGTTCTTGCATATTCATTAATCTTCCTAATTGGATTTTTTTTGGAACGGCTTTGTTTGTTAATTCGTCCAAACTCTACAAATTTAAAAAAATTTAATAAAGAACATTTAAAGTAATTAAAAGAAATAAATTTTTACCTTAAATCCCACTTTATCCAACATACTGATAATATCTCGATCACGAGGACCGATGTGTCTTGATGGAAAATCATCCTTTTTGGGAAAAAGAGCACTTTGTTGATCGACACTTGTGCAAAAGCACTTGCTTAATTTTATATTTTGCGCAAAATTGCGACTCTTTCTTAATGCTTTATACATCTTTGATTTAATAAATGTGTAAATTAGCGATTTGTTAATGTAATATATAGTTGAGTATTGCGCAAATTTAAAGGTCGAGTTGGTTCATGACCGTGATAAGAGATCATTTTCTTAATTTATTAATACATATAATTTATTTTTTATAAAAATTTATTTTAAAAATAAAATTTTCATTCTTAATAGTAATATAATTAGCAATTCAATCAAGTCTCATTTTCGATGGAGATGTAATAGATATAACAAATACGAAGTTTAAAAAATAAAAGTAAAAACTTAACAAAAGGCAATAAAATAATTCTAAAAAATCAAGTTTAAGTGGGTATTTGAGTTATTAATCGGAGTTTATAACAAAATCCTAGTAACATTTCAATTAAAAACCATTAATATTTGTTAAACAAGACAGTCTGTGAATACATGAATAAGAACTTCTGTTGGATTGACACGTTATGGATGTAGATGCGTGAAAGAATTTTGTCCACTACTAGTAACATATGAAGATGTGGGTACATTTCTCATGAAGTTATGGGATTCTAAGCTTCAGCAAGCGTCTGGTCTTTTAATCTGGTCAATAAAAATCATTTTTCTTAATAATTCACTATTAGCAGCCGACATTTTCATTTCCAACACTTTCTGGTAGTGCTTAGGAGCTCCCTAATGTTGGTGTTGATGAATGACGGGGATTAAGTCAAGGATCTCTCCACAGATGAGACATGCTTTGTGGATGTGGATTTTACTACATAAACTCAGAAACGAAGATTACAAATGTGAGGTTTTGGGCAGACAATCTTCACTAGATCAACATTCCACATTGCTAGTCCATTTATAACCCAAGTAGCTAGCTAAATAGCACTTTATAGTTGTTGGACTCAGCCTCTTTTCGTTAATTTTGTAAAAGTTTGATCTACATATAATCTTTTAAGATAGTTTTTGAGGCAGTATGTTACCGCATAACGGAAATGATATTACCCCTCCAGCCGAAAATAGTGTTTGGCAATTGAAGACCTTTCTTTTCCGTAACAATACCCTAAATCTTTTGCAATTCGTTTTTTTTTCTATTAGGTATCAAAATTTCACATCGATTAAAATCATTTTTAGCAAAATTAAACTTTAAAAATTTGTTTATTCATAATTGTGTATTGGAGCTACCTCATTGTTACTACCAATTTACAAAAAAAACTACTTTATTAGTATTTTATAGATCTTGAAACACATTTACAAAACCAATAATTTATTTAAACGGTTATTCTTGTGTGTCATCGTCAGTTATATCAATGTCATCATGATTTTCTACCACATTATCAGATTTTAAAGATCTGTAAATCATTTTCGGGTACATACTTATTTGATAATGTAATTACATTGTTTAATTTCTGAAATTTTAATGGCAGTGGTGTAGAATATGCAGGCGCTGAAGGTTCTAAAGGGATATCCATTAGTTCTGGCTATTTGGAAATCCTTAAGAATCAGCAAACTAGCAGACATTAAACATTGGATTCCTGTCAATCCAAATTTATAACATCATCTCATAAATTCAAGAAACAATCTCGGCAGATGAAACTATTTGTTACAAATAAAAAAACCGAGTTATCCGAAATTGAAAATGATGAAATAGATCTAACTTTAATTAAAATGATTGTTACTGATCACCAGCCTTTTTTCAATTGTAAAAAATCTTGGTTTTTGGAATACTTTAAAAAGTTACAGAAACTATACAAACCATCAAGCAGGAAATTATTATCTTCGAAAATATTAGCTAGCAGAGTTGATCATGTCGCCATAACTACTGATATATGGACTTCTGACAGCAATAAAGCATTTTTATCAGTAACTAGTCACTTTTTTTATAACAACTTAATACATAATGCTGTTTTGGCAACGAAGGAAATACAAGAAGCCCATACAGATATAATCATTGCCTCTGCTCTTTCAGAGATTTTCAATACTTGGGAAATTCAGGATAAAATAAATACCATTGTTAGTGACAACTGTGCTAATATAAAAAATGCAGTAATTGATAAACTTAAAAAAAGACATCATCTGTGTATTGCACATACTTTAAATCTATGTGTCACAGATGCCATAAACTCAACCGAACTGGTACTGCAACTGATAAAGAAATTTAGAATATTAGTAGGTCATTTTAATCATAGCGTAGTGGTATGTACAAAATTAAAAAGCATGCAAAAACAAATGGGATAGATACAATTCTTCTTTAATTATGACAAAAAGACTTGTAGCGATAAAGACCCACTATCAGCTGCTATAACATCGTTACCACGAGCTCCAGAATTCATTGCAGCAACAGAATGGGATATGTTGACAGACTTACAATTAGTCTCCAAAGAAACAAAGAAAAACAAACATCAGACAAGACCCGTTGACTGCTGAAAAATCATATTCCTGAATTTTATTCGAAATTGGTCATATTTCAGTTGACGTAGTCCATGTGGCAAGCTTCCATACGATTTATAAACAAGATATGTAAATGACCTTTGAAAAAGTGATGTTATATGTTTTGGAGGATAGAAACTAATACCTGACCTGGTCTGACTTCCTTCGCACTGTGGTTTATATTTAATTTTGTTATGCAAGTACTCCGGGACTCCAAAGGTAACGATTCTATGATAGAGAGACAAACTATGAAACTCTCGTCGAGAGCTCATGTTCAGCCACCCAGCATCCTTAAGTTTATGAGAAATTCTATCAAATATGCGAATCCCATAAATAAATCTGAGGCAACTATTCTGAACCTGTTGTATACTTCGTGACGTGATTGCATCTATAGCCTTATGATGAACAAACATGAACAAACATATGCACTTTTAATTTCAAAGGTAAACATGAACGAGGTAGACATGCGGATACAGCCGACGCAAAAAAAATGTGATCTCTGAATATATGTTTGAATTTGTTTTCTAAATCTTAAGCTAGTATCTAAAATCATACCAAGACACTTAGCTTCAGAGACCTTTTTAATTAAGGTATTATTCATCTTAATGGCTAAGTACGAAGTAGGGTTACGCTGTTGGCCATTAAAACTCATCCACATAGATTTGTCAGGATTTATTTTTAGCTGGTGGTATGTTGCTAATTCAAAAATCGTATCAAGATCACCGCTAATACCAGCCTCAGCAATACCACTGCCCGCTGTTGCGTATGAAGCGTAAAGCTGGGTATCATCCGCATAACGTACTCATTTTACAGAATTTAATAAATTTATTAATTTGGGAAGTGTAGATAGAAAACAAAATAGGTCCCAGCACAGATCCTTGGGGAACACCATTACACAGTGCGAGTTCACCAGACATGGCATCATCAACTTTCACCCTCTGTGTGCGATCACTAAGATGCTACTCAATATTGTTACTGCACCTTCACTAAAACCCAGATAACGAAGTAGTTTGCTCAAAATGATGTGGTTAACAGTGTCAAATGCTTTTGAGTAGTCTAAAAAACCACAGCAGTACTCTCTCCCACGTCAACAGCGGACAATATATCATCAGTTAGATTTAACATTGATGTTATGCAACTATACCCACATCGAAAACAAGATTGTTCTGAAAGGAGCAAACTATTGGTCTCCATATACTCCACCAATTGAGCCTTCATAACCTTCTCTAAAACTTTAGAAAGAACAGGGAGAATACTTATTGGTCGCAAGTCACTATACTCTCGTGGGTTATCCTTTTTGAGCAGAGGAATAACCTCTGCGCGTTTCCATTCCAAGGGAAAGACATGGTCAACTAANACGCTATAATTAATGTTTGTAAACAGAACTAACCTTAAGTAACATTCCTTCACGGTTTAATTGGCATTTCAAAAGAAAACTTCACGCTATGATTGGCATTACTAATTACTAAAGAAAACTTCACGCTATAATTAATGTTTGTAAACAGAACTAACCTTAAGTAACATTCCTTCACGGTTTAATTGGCATTTCAAAAGAAAACTTCACGCTATGATTGGCATTACTAATTACTAAAGAAAACTTCACGCTATAATTAATGTTTGTAAACAGAACTAACCTTAAGTAACATTCCTTCACGGTTTAATTGGCATTTCAAAAGAAAACTTCACGCTATGATTGGCATTACTAATTACTAAAGAAAACTTCACGCTATAATTAATGTTTGTAAACAGAACTAACCTTAAGTAACATTCCTTCACGGTTTAATTGGCATTTCAAAAGAAAACTTCACGCTATGATTGGCATTACTAATTACTAAAGAAAACTTCACGCTATAATTAATGTTTGTAAACAGAACTAACCTTAAGTAACATTCCTTCACGGTTTAATTGGCATTTCAAAAGAAAACTTCACGCTATGATTGGCATTACTAATTACTAAACAAAACTTCACGCTATAATTAATGTTTGTAAACAGAACTAACCTTACCTAACATTCCTTCGCGGTTTAATTGGCATTTCAAAAGAAAACTTCACGCTATAATTAATGTTTGTAAACAGAACTAACCTTACGTAACATTCCTTCAGTATGTGGGTCAAATATGGCAATATGATGGGGCAATACAGTTTGATCATCTCAATGGAAATTCCATCAGTACCAATAGCAGAAGATGTAATAGATGCAATCACGTCAGAAACCAGAGGGATCTCCACATATAATAATGTATTTAATAAATGTTTTAACATGTATTACTTATTAAATTTTAATTCATGCCAATATTTTCATTATCTCCATTTCAACTCCATAGTTTCAGTCTCTTCATTTTACAGTCAGACGACTGTTCATTGTACGACTAGTGATTCCTGTCGAATGACTGAATGAATACATTACTTTCGATATTTTTATTTAAATTATTGAAAATTATTATAATGTAGGTTTTAATTCAACCATTTATTGAAATAAATTTTATGATATCGAATTATTCGAATACCTACTTGGCAACTATCGAATTATCTGATAGCGCCTAATGCCCATCACTACTATTGACTGTTAGTTTTATTACTGATAACTTATTTTATTTTCTTGCGTATTATTAATGAGTTTCTGGGCATGTCGTGTTTGCACCCAAAATATATAAATAAATTAATAACACTCGGAGATTCGTAGGTTGCAACTTGTAAAAGTTAAAACATTTGGCAACAGTTAAAATTAGTTTTCTTTAATTTTCTAAACCTCGACGTTAACATGTGTATATTTAGTGATATTTTTGGTGGCACATAAATCTTTTATGTCACTAACTTATTTCTGGTACCAAATGTAAGAAATATTTATCCAAAAACTTATCCTGTGAATTTTAACATAACAATACCAAGAAAATCAGAAAAATATATATTATGTACTACATATTTTTCAAGAAGGAATTTGAAATAAAAAAATAAAATTACATGCGAGTATGTTTTTATTGAAAACCTTTAAAAATTGTACTATTCGTTCAATAGCACTTTCTCTAAATCAAAAAGAAATATAATGAAAATAAAAAATGTTAATACCAAGGACAAAAATATTTATTTACCGTGACTTTAACCATCCTGTTATATTTTTATGTACAATACTTTTTCACGTAATAAATAATAAAAATTATAAAATAAAAACGTGTACTCTTTTTGAAAGTGTATAAAACACAAAAATTTGTAACTAATTATATTATGTAAAAATAATCTATGCACAAAAGAATAACAAAAGAAAACGATTCTTTTGTATAATTACAATAACATTACATTTAATAAGCTATATGCAAGTTTTAGAAAAAGTACTTCAATCCGGATATTTCTTAAACCTATTACAAAAATGTTCATTCATTGTTTTCATGCCTTCTTTTAAACACATATAGTTCAGAAATTTTCTCGCATCATTTGACTAATCACTTTGGTGCACCCGGTGGTTTTATTAATGGTTCCTCATGACTTTGATATTTAGGTTTTCCATGTGTAAATGGTAAATACCTATATTTGATCATGTGCTAAAATATAACATTTATAAATAAAAATGTAGGTTTTAATTAACATTGAAGTACCTTTATTTGACGTTTCATCGTAACGCAGAATAACGTCAGGAAATACATGACGAGGATCGGCCAAAATACTGGAATATTAAAGCAATCGAAGAATGTACAAATAATTGCAAAAACTGTACTTTTTGTCACCGAATACCAAAATTTAAACTCAGGCAACCTTCTAATAAACGGCCGAAACTCTTCATTTGCTCTAGTTGGTAATTCTGGACCATTTTCATCAGCTGTATTTAAAAAATTAATGAAAATAATTAATTAGAAAAGGATAAATAAATAAATTTTACCATCAAAATCCATGGCTGGATCAATTTTAGGTGTCAAAAACGCTATGAATAAGTTTAAGTGATAAATACCGAGCGCATAAGTCACGATATACCATCCCTGAAACACAATAACATAAAATTGTCCACAACATTAATTCCCCCATAATAAATTAAAAAAGAAATCGTCTATGTTGGTTTGATACTAAAAAAGTGGTGGAGAGGTACAGTTTTTGTAGCCATTGATGACATAAAGCTTCTGAACAAAGGTAACAAAATGAAAGAGAACTTAAAAAACTGAAATAATAATACCTGAACAATCAAGACCCTTGCCATAAAAAGCGCGATGAGCAGCAGGGCCCCGACCCATCGGGATTTTTTCCAAGGTACCGTCCTATCCACCACTCCTTGGTACCACTAAAACATAGAAAACACATCAATCTACCTTCATCAAGAATATTCTCAATCCGAATAATATCAGTAACGATAATGTGAAGCCCCAACGCCACCTTGTGTATGGTGTCCATTTATCCAATGTACTTTGGAATATCTGTAGTTTTAAGCACCAAAAAAGTAAGATGATTTAAAATGAAAAATTTTAATATTCCCAAAATTCCCAAAGTAATAGTTTTAAAGCAAATAATATACTCCATATAATAATGATAGCCCATAAAATAATTAATCCTGTAATCACTAACCTGTGATAACCTTGTCCATGCTTGTGAGATGACACTTTTTTTCTTTGGTTGTAATAAATCGTCATCCATTGTAAAGGTCTACGTAATATACCATCTAAAAAACAAAGATTTCACGTAATAATTATTAATTAATAGAAACCGATAAAATTAATTAGCAGGTTAGTTAATAGTTAAATTAAACAATTGTGTAACAGTCAAATCGATAATACACGAAACGGAAATGTGTAACTCACCAATTAATGCTATTTTTATTTTACTACACGCTTAATTTATAAGCCGTATATTAATTAAATAACATTTTTACTAAAACATCCACGTCAAAGAAGCTCAACTTGGTTTTATGGTGACAAATGTGTCACCCGAAAAAGTTAGGGATTTTTTTTTAAATTTTGAACGTTCAAAAAGTACTTAATAATAATTTAATTAATAAATAAATCGCAAAATTATTAAAAAAAAACCAAAGAGATTTAACCCAAACAAGTTTACAAATTAATTTTTAAAAATTGAATTGTTTTAATTTTTTTAGTTCCTTTTATATTTCTATCTTCACCTCATTGATCTGTCAAATATTAACCTTAAAATCACCATTCAAAACATTTCGAAATTACGTAATTTATAACCCTTTTTAAAAGGAAAAAATGGTGAAATCCTCCCCAACCGGGGGCGTAATGCCCATGGATCTCGCGGGTCGCCTCGCCCGCGAAAGAGAACGTCTCCTGGGCATGACAGACGCCGAAAGAGCCTTCCGTAAGCAATACTTAAAAGATCAAGAATTAGCCCATGGAGAACCAAAATTCGTTCCGGAACTCTACAGGGAAACCGTAAACCCCATCCGTCGACTTTACCGTGCACCCTTAGACGCATTTCGTGTAATGATCACCCCGATTGTTGGCGCACAAAGGGCCCTTCATATTCGTTACTTCGCCGGAAAATTCTTGATGATTACACTTTTTGCTTATGGATGCACTTATTATTTTAAGTATAATGGAAACGATTGGACTCGCCCTGGAGGTTGGAGAAAAGTTGAATCGCGAATTGCAGTATTCCCCGGTGATCCTGAATTTCCTAAAGTTTCAGAACGAACAGTCGGAGCTGATTATGCTTCTAGAGGATTTAAAGATGTAAAAGTTAATTTGTAAATTAAGAAAAGGCGAATAATCGTGTAGTTATTTGTTATGTTAATAAATTATAACGAAATATAATTTAATTTATTTTGACACATACATAAAGAGGTTGTAAAAGTCGGCCTTTTGATAATTTTTGTGAATTTTTATTATTATCTACTATTAACTTGTTAATTGATATTTTATTTTCTTGCGTATTATTAGTGGATGCTTCTGGGCATGTCGTGTTTGCATCCCAAAATATATAACACTCGGAGATTCGTAGATTGTAACTTGTAAAAGTTAAAACATTTGGCAACAGTTTAAATTAGTTTTCTTTAATTTTCTCAACCTCTGCGTTAACATGTAATTTAGTGATATTTTTGGTGGCACATAAATCTTTAATAGAAATTTCAAGATGCTAATTTTCACGAGAGTTTTAAAATAAATTGACGTAAGTATATTAGAATTTAATATATAATTTAAATTACATTTATTAGCATTTCAATGAATACAATTTTATATTGGCTTTTAACATAGTTAAGTATAATGAGTTGTTCTTTTATAATAGGAGATTCGAAGGTTCCTGAAGATGGTTTTGTAAATAAGCCGAAACCGGTAGAATTTATAAGAGTGAATCCATTTTAATAAAAGTACAGACAGATAAAAGTATTTTACTTTATTTAAATCTTTTATGTCACTAACTTATTTCTGGTACCAAATGCAAGAAATATTTATCCAAAAACTTATCCTCTGAATTTTAACATAATAATATCAAGGATATCAGAAAAAAATATATTATGTAGTACATATTTTTCAAGGAGGAATTTGAAATAAAAACAAAATAGAATTACATGCGAGTATGTTTTTATTGAAAACTTTTAAAAATTGCACTTATTCGTTCAATAGCACTTTCTCTAAATCAAAAAGAAATATAATGAAAATAAAAAATGTTAATACCAAGGACAAAAATATTTATTTACCGTGACTTTAACCATCCTGTTATATTTTTATGTACAATACTTTTTCACGTAATAAATAATAAAAATTATAAAATAAAAACGTGTACTCTTTTTGAAAGTGTATAAAACACAAAAATTTGTAACTAATTATATTATGTAAAAATAATCTATGCACAAAAGAATAACAAAAGAAAACGATTCTTTTGTATAATTACAATAACATTACATTTAATAAGCTATATGCAAGTTTTAGAAAAAGTACTTCAATCCGGATATTTCTTAAACCTATTACAAAAATGTTCATTCATTGTTTTCATGCCTTCTTTTAAACACATATAGTTCAGAAATTTTCTCGCATCATTTGACTAATCACTTTGGTGCACCCGGTGGTTTTATTAATGGTTCCTCATGACTTTGATATTTAGGTTTTCCATGTGTAAATGGTAAATACCTATATTTGATCATGTGCTAAAATATAACATTTATAAATAAAAATGTAGGTTTTAATTAACATTGAAGTACCTTTATTTGACGTTTCATCGTAACGCAGAATAACGTCAGGAAATACATGACGAGGATCGGCCAAAATACTGGAATATTAAAGCAATCGAAGAATGTACAAATAATTGCAAAAACTGTACTTTTTGTCACCGAATACCAAAATTTAAACTCAGGCAACCTTCTAATAAACGGCCGAAACTCTTCATTTGCTCTAGTTGGTAATTCTGGACCATTTTCATCAGCTGTATTTAAAAAATTAATGAAAATAATTAATTAGAAAAGGATAAATAAATAAATTTTACCATCAAAATCCATGGCTGGATCAATTTTAGGTGTCAAAAACGCTATGAATAAGTTTAAGTGATAAATACCGAGCGCATAAGTCACGATATACCATCCCTGAAACACAATAACATAAAATTGTCCACAACATTAATTCCCCCATAATAAATTAAAAAAGAAATCGTCTATGTTGGTTTGATACTAAAAAAGTGGTGGAGAGGTACAGTTTTTGTAGCCATTGATGACATAAAGCTTCTGAACAAAGGTAACAAAATGAAAGAGAACTTAAAAAACTGAAATAATAATACCTGAACAATCAAGACCCTTGCCATAAAAAGCGCGATGAGCAGCAGGGCCCCGACCCATCGGGATTTTTTCCAAGGTACCGTCCTATCCACCACTCCTTGGTACCACTAAAACATAGAAAACACATCAATCTACCTTCATCAAGAATATTCTCAATCCGAATAATATCAGTAACGATAATGTGAAGCCCCAACGCCACCTTGTGTATGGTGTCCATTTATCCAATGTACTTTGGAATATCTGTAGTTTTAAGCACCAAAAAAGTAAGATGATTTAAAATGAAAAATTTTAATATTCCCAAAATTCCCAAAGTAATAGTTTTAAAGCAAATAATATACTCCATATAATAATGATAGCCCATAAAATAATTAATCCTGTAATCACTAACCTGTGATAACCTTGTCCATGCTTGTGAGATGACACTTTTTTTCTTTGGTTGTAATAAATCGTCATCCATTGTAAAGGTCTACGTAATATACCATCTAAAAAACAAAGATTTCACGTAATAATTATTAATTAATAGAAACCGATAAAATTAATTAGCAGGTTAGTTAATAGTTAAATTAAACAATTGTGTAACAGTCAAATCGATAATACACGAAACGGAAATGTGTAACTCACCAATTAATGCTATTTTTATTTTACTACACGCTTAATTTATAAGCCGTATATTAATTAAATAACATTTTTACTAAAACATCCACGTCAAAGAAGCTCAACTTGGTTTTATGGTGACAAATGTGTCACCCGAAAAAGTTAGGGATTTTTTTTTAAATTTTGAACGTTCAAAAAGTACTTAATAATAATTTAATTAATAAATAAATCGCAAAATTATTAAAAAAAAACCAAAGAGATTTAACCCAAACAAGTTTACAAATTAATTTTTAAAAATTGAATTGTTTTAATTTTTTTAGTTCCTTTTATATTTCTATCTTCACCTCATTGATCTGTCAAATATTAACCTTAAAATCACCATTCAAAACATTTCGAAATTACGTAATTTATAACCCTTTTTAAAAGGAAAAAATGGTGAAATCCTCCCCAACCGGGGGCGTAATGCCCATGGATCTCGCGGGTCGCCTCGCCCGCGAAAGAGAACGTCTCCTGGGCATGACAGACGCCGAAAGAGCCTTCCGTAAGCAATACTTAAAAGATCAAGAATTAGCCCATGGAGAACCAAAATTCGTTCCGGAACTCTACAGGGAAACCGTAAACCCCATCCGTCGACTTTACCGTGCACCCTTAGACGCATTTCGTGTAATGATCACCCCGATTGTTGGCGCACAAAGGGCCCTTCATATTCGTTACTTCGCCGGAAAATTCTTGATGATTACACTTTTTGCTTATGGATGCACTTATTATTTTAAGTATAATGGAAACGATTGGACTCGCCCTGGAGGTTGGAGAAAAGTTGAATCGCGAATTGCAGTATTCCCCGGTGATCCTGAATTTCCTAAAGTTTCAGAACGAACAGTCGGAGCTGATTATGCTTCTAGAGGATTTAAAGATGTAAAAGTTAATTTGTAAATTAAGAAAAGGCGAATAATCGTGTAGTTATTTGTTATGTTAATAAATTATAACGAAATATANTGCTTCTAGAGGATTTAAAGATGTAAAAGTTAATTTGTAAATTAAGAAAAGGCGAATAATTGTGTAGTTATTTGTTATGTTAATAAATTATAACGAAATATAATTTAATTTATTTTGACACATACATAATCTCAATTAATCCTTAAATTATAATTAATATAGAAAGAAGGTATTATTTTAGGATGTAAAATTTGTTTTTTATAATTATTATAATAAAATTAAAGCTTTAATTATAATGTATTAATGTAAAATTTAAAAAATTTGACAAATCAAAACATAACCTCAATTTAATCCTCAAATTATAATTAATATAGAAAGAGTTATTTTAGGATGTAAAATTTGTATTTATTAGTCTTATTATTTATAATGTTATGATTAAAGATTTAATTGTAATGTATTAATATAAAATAAAAAAATTTGACAACTCAAAACATAACCTCAATTTAATCCTCAAATTATAATTAATATAAAAAGAGTTATTTTAGGATGTAAAATTTGTATTTATTAGTTTTATTATTTGTAATGTTATAATTAAAGCTTTAATTGTAATGTATTAATATAAAATAAAAAAAATTTTGACAACTCAAAACATAACCTTAATGTATAAATAATAATGTGCTTTAACCTCAAAAAAAAATAAGGTATCCTGTTTTTAATTAAAATTGACTATAAAAATGGATGAATTAAGTAATTTAGGAGTAAAAAGAAAATTAGAAACATCTAACGATGCCCCATTAGAAGAAAGTAAAAAGATTTTAATTGAAAATGACACCAACACGTCCTCAAACATCGACACAGAAAAACAAGAATATTTTAACGGAGTCGAAATTTCTAAATTAACTAAACGACAACTTAAAAAGTATAATAAAATGTTAAAATGGCAAGAAACGAAGAAATTAAAACGAGCTAATGAACGTATCAAAACTAAAAGGAAAAAGATTGAAGCGAAGCTAAACAACATTGATTTGGGACCGAGTCGAAAGCAATTAAAAAGAAGCACCATGGCAAATAGTTCTTGTAAAATATCAGTGGTTATAGATTTAAGTTTTGATGATTTAATGATAAGTAAAGATTTGGGAAAAGTGATTAAACAAATATTAAGGGTTTATACTGATAATCGAAGAGCTAAAGCTCCAATGCAATTGTATTTAACCAGTTTTGAAGGAAAAGCTAAAGAAGAAATGGGGAAACACCACGGATATGAGTATTGGGACATTAATTTTTGTGAAGACGAATATTTAAAGATTTTTCCAAAAGAAAAATTGATTTATTTAAGTAGTGAAAGCGATAATGTTATTAATGAATTGGAGGATGATAAAGTTTATATTATAGGAGGATTAGTTGATCATAATTCGCACAAAGTAAGTTTAATAAAAAAAAAATAATTTCTTAAATCTTTTATTTTTGATTTAATAAATATTAATTAATACAAACTAAAATACTATTCAAAAAAGAAACTAAATTTATAAATAACTCACAGGGTATTTGCTATAAGAAAGCTGTAGAACAAGGAATATCCCACGGTCAATTGCCAATTGGAGAATATTTTAAATTAAAACATAGGAAAGTATTTACTATAAATCAAGGTAACTAATCAATCAATTTCTAACTTAATTTTTAACTCAATTATTTTAGTTTTTGAAATTCTTCTAAGAGTATCTGAAGGTAAAACATTCAAAGAAGCTTTCGAAACGACTTTACCTAAACGCATAAATATGCAACCAACTCAAAATGAAATTCAAGAAACGAAATTAATAGAAGTAGAAATTAATAAATAAAACTAAAATAACCTTATCCATATTTTTGATTCGTGTCGATAAAAACCACAACAAAATTTTACATTGAAAGGAGTTTTACAAGGGGAGAGCAAGAAAAAAAAACACAAAAAAGTACACCATAAATCTAAACAAAACAAGAAAAAATCACAATAAATAAACTACTACACTAATTTTGGCGCAACATGTATATAATAATAATAATAATATTTATCACAAATATCCTCTCCATCATATTTAAAAAAAAATTTTAATTCATATCAACTTCGTCCGAATTAATAAATTCAAAATCGCTATCGCTATCGTGCCTTCGAGGCCTTTCCTCTTGAGTACCTTGTAGTTGTTGAGTCAGCACATTCGTAACTAATGCTTGTCCCATTGAAGTTAAATTACTCAACAATCCTGAGGCTAGATTTCTCGCAATCGTTTGCGTCCCCCCTAAAGGATCGTCAGTAAATTGTAGTCCCACGGTGTAGTTTATTTCTTCATCAGAAGAACTATCTTTAAAATGGCCCGATTCAAATTGAAGACCTTTACTGTCCGAATCTGAATCGCTCGAGTAATTATCAACAGCGGTGAAAGAACCACGAGGTTTTGGTTGTTGTGTTGGAAGAAGATCGTCTTCTTCTAAACCATCGACGCTACCTTCACCTTCCATATGGGACGGCATTGTACTTATTCCACTTATAAATGAACTTGTTATCGAATCTTAAAAAAAAAATTAATTGAAATATAAAAGTTATATAAAGAGAATAAAATAATAACTTACCAACAGTTTTATCCGTTAATACACTTTCTATTTCGTCCTTGTCATTTAAATCTTTCTCTGATATGTATGGAATTAATTCATGTTCAGCTACAACACCTCAAAATTAAAATAAAAAATTAATTTGCTAATTTAAATGCGGTTTATAAGTAAAGTAGGGTAAAAGCTAAATTTAATTTTTTGCCAGATTTGAGATAATCTGAGTATTTGAACTGGATGATACATCAATTAATTCGTTATCATCAGAATCCAATAACACGTGTATATGTAAACGATTTAATCTGCACATCTATGATGTAAAAAATAAATCATCCTATTGCCTCATTTTTTAGTAATGCACGAGTTATTAAAATGGATTAATCAATCATTTATGACTAAACATTTTGTTACGTTTAATTTTCTCGTCATAATGTTTTAAATATAAATGGTTTACAAAGATACACCAGAAATTGTGTTATAACAATACTAAAACCAATAAAATCAACCTTCTTGAAGAACTCAATAACACTGTTTAATATCCAATTAAAATAATCTAGTTTTTTCTTTTTTATCTCTTCCAATGCGATAAAAAAGTAAACTATTTTTAATACTGTTCATAAAAAAGGCTGATATCTTTTATTCACGGAAGCAGAATGTTTGATTTAATAGTATGATGAAATCCTTTAATAATGAAGCAAAATAAAATGAAGAAAAATTGGTTTTGCATGTTGGAAATCGCAAATGTTGAACGCTCATTAACTTTAATACTGCGCAGATTGTTTTATACAATAATTGTTTCCTTCTGTACATATTAAGTATCTAGAAAGTATTGAGATTGGATGTGCTGACGCAGATTTTAACTTAAATCAAACAATCAGATTCTACCTAAAAGCACTTCTAAATATTTTGTTTAAAGTTACACTTTAAATTGCAAAATCAAACATATGTTTTCATAGTCGTTATTAAAATGATGGAAAATTAATAAATATTAAATTTAATAAAAGCGTTTTACTGGAAATAATAGTGATGCTGAGGCAGTGAGAAATTTCTGCAAATAGTATCTAATCTTGTATTAGCAGCATTTAGTGTTCTGCAAGCAAAAGGTAGTCTTCTGCTGGCAGCATCCAATCTTCTAATAACACTATCTAGTCTACTAACAACAATATCTAATCATATGGTAACAATATGAAGCCTTTTGACAACAATATTTAATGTTCTGGAAACAGTATCTAGTCTTCTGAAAACAATATCCAATTTTCTAGAAGCAATATCTAGTCTTCTGACAATATTATCTAATTTGAACCTAAAATAATATCTAAACTTCCAGCGAAAGTCTAGTCTTCCAGTAAAAATATTCACCCTTCTAGTAATAATGTCAAGTCTTCTGGAAACAATATCTGTGGCCTTTTAACAATAATTAGCCTAATCTTCTTATAATAATATCTGATCTTTTCAGAAACAATAGTTAGTCTTCAGGAATTTATATCTAGTCTTCTGCAATAGAATCCAATCTACTTGAAATAATATCTAGTCTTCTGGAAACAATATCTAGCCTTCTGGATGTAACTTCTAGTATTCTAGAAACAATATCTTATCTTCTAGCAGTAATATCTAGTCTTTTGGAATCAATATCTAGGCTTCTAGAAATAGTATCTAGTCTTCTGAAAACAATATCTAGTCTTTTGCAACAGCATCTAATCTTCTTGATATATCTGATCTTCTGGAAGTAATACTTAGCCTTCTGGAAACAATATTTAGTCTCCTAGAAGCAATATCTAGTCTTCTGGCTACAATATCCTGTGTTCTGGAAACAATATCTAGCCTTCTGAAAACAATATCTAATCTTCTGCAACCGCAACTAATCTTCTTGATATAATATCTGATCTTCTGAAACGATATTTAGACTATTGGAAACTATATGTAGGCTTCTGGATGTAACTTCTGGTCTTCTAGAAACAATATCTTATTTTCTAGCAGTAATATCTAGACTTTTGATGAAAATATTTAGTCTTTTGGAATCAATATCTACGCTTCTAGAAATAGTATCTAATCTTCTGGAAACAATATCTGGCCTTCTGGAAATAAGTCTAATCTTCTTGAAATAATATCTGATCTTCTGGAAACAATATTTAACCGCCATGAATATCTAGTCTTATAGATACAATATCGAGTCTTCTTGAAACATTACCTAGTCTTCTGCAATAGAATNATATTCACCCTTCTAGTAATAATGTCAAGTCTTCTGGAAACAATATCTGTGGCCTTTTAACAATAATTAGCCTAATCTTCTTATAATAATATCTGATCTTTTCAGAAACAATAGTTAGTCTTCAGGAATTTATATCTAGTCTTCTGCAATAGAATCTAATCTTCTTCAAATAACATCTGATCCTCTGAAAACAATATTTAGCCTTCTGGAAATAATATGTAGTCTTTCGCAACAATATTCAGCTTTCTGCAAGAGCAACTAATCTTGATATAATATCTGATCTTCTGGAAATAATATCTAGCGTTCTGAAACAATATTTAGACTCCTGGAAACAATATCTAGCCTTTTAACAATAATTAGCCTAATCTTCTTAAAATAATATCTGATCTTTTCAAAAACAATAGTAAGTCTTCAGGAATTTATATCTAGTTTTCTGCAATAGAATCTAATCTTCTTCATATAACATCTGATCCTCTGAAAACAATATTTAGCCCTCTGGAAATAATATGTAGTCTTTAGGCAACAATATTCAGCCTTCTGCAAGAGCAACTAATCTTCTTGATATAATATCTGATCTTCTGGAAATAATATCTAGCCTTCTGAAACAGAATTTAGACTCCTGGCAACAATATCTAGCCTTCTGGATGCAACTTCTAGTATTCTAGAAACAATATGTAATCTTCTAGTAGTAATATCTAGACTTTTGATGAAAATCTGATCATGAACCATCATGAATTAATATCTAGTCTTATAGATACAACATCGAGTCTTCTCGAAACAATACCTACTCTTCTGCAATAGAACCTAATCTTCTTGAGGTAATATTTAATCTTCTAAAAACAATATTTAGCCTTCAGGAATTAATATCTAGCTTAAATGTCGAGTCATCTAGAAACAATGTCTAGTCTTCTGCAATAGAATCCAATCTACTTGAAATAATATCTAGTCTTCTGGAAACAATATCTAGCCTTCTGGATGTAACTTCTAGTATTCTAGAAACAATATCTTATCTTCTAGCAGTAATATCTAGTCTTTTGGAATCAATATCTAGGCTTCTAGAAATAGTATCTAGTCTTCTGAAAACAATATCTAGTCTTTTGCAACAGCATCTAATCTTCTTGATATATCTGATCTTCTGGAAGTAATACTTAGCCTTCTGGAAACAATATTTAGTCTCCTAGAAGCAATATCTAGTCTTCTGGCTACAATATCCTGTGTTCTGGAAACAATATCTAGCCTTCTGAAAACAATATCTAATCTTCTGCAACCGCAACTAATCTTCTTGATATAATATCTGATCTTCTGAAACGATATTTAGACTATTGGAAACTATATGTAGGCTTCTGGATGTAACTTCTGGTATTCTAGAAACAATATCTTATTTTCTAGCAGTAATATCTAGACTTTTGATGAAAATATTTAGTCTTTTGGAATCAATATCTACGCTTCTAGAAATAGTATCTAATCTTCTGGAAACAATATCTGGCCTTCTGGAAATAAGTCTAATCTTCTTGAAATAATATCTGATCTTCTGGAAACAATATTTAACCGCCATGAATATCTAGTCTTATAGATACAATATCGAGTCTTCTTGAAACATTACCTAGTCTTCTGCAATAGAATCTAATCTTCTTGGAATAATATTTAATCTTCTGAAACCAATATTTAGCCTTCAGGAATTAATATCGCTATAGCTTAAATGTCGATTCATCTGGTAGCAATATCTAGTTTTATGCAATTTTCTTGAAATAAAATGTATTCTTCTCGAAACAATATCCAACGTTTTACAATAGCACCTAATTTTCTAGAAATATCTTCCTGTATCTAGTCTTCTGGCCACAATATCGTCTGTTCTGGATACAATATCCAGCCTTCTGCAATAGTATCTAATCTTCTGGAAACAATATCTAGTCTTTTGCAACAGCATCTAATCTTCTTGATATATTTGATCTTCTGGAAGTAATACTTAGCTTTCTGGAAACAATCTTTAGTCTCTTAGAAGCAATATCTAGTCTTCTGGCTACAATATCGTGTCTTCTGGAAACAATATCTAGCCTTCTGGCAACAATATCTAATCTTCTGGAAACTATATCCAGCCTTTTGCAATAGCATCTAATCTTCTTAATATAATATCTGATCTTCTGAAAGTAATAGCCTTCTGGAAACAATATTTAGTCTCCTAGAAACAATATCTAGTCTTTTAGCCACAATATCGTATCTTCTGGAAACAATATCTAGCCTTCTGGAAACAATATTTAGTCTTCTGGAAACAATATCTAGTCTCCTGGAAACAATATTTAGTCTCTTGGAAGCAATGTCTAGTCTTGTGGCTACATTCTTTTAAACCTTTTTTAGCAAATCTCACCACGTTCTTTAAAACCCCGTTTCTCAGCCAACGTTCATTCAAAAAAGGTCTAAATTGGCATGATTACTCTTCAGATGCTATCACATCTATTGTCATTCCTGGTATCAGAGTTTCTCATACAGAGTAGTCAAAAATTGAATTACCATTTTAAAATCAAAACAACTCAAAAACGAAAAGCGCTAGGTACCAATAACTTTTATCAAAGTCACCACATTTTTTTGCGCATAATTGAAAGGTGTAATAAAAACTATAGCATTCCAGTTAAAATAACGAAGTTGTGGTTTACTTCGTTTACTTTCTGTAGACCGGCAGTATTTTAGATCAAAAAAAGTTCTAACAAATCAGTTATGAAAGACACCTGTATAAGCTATTAAGAACCCAACTCATTAAATTATTTTAATTTTATTTAGCTGCTATTGCACTTTTATAAAACAGGATTCAAGTTCACATAAATAAATTTTTTGCATGTTCTGCAAAAACAATAATTTTGCAACATAGAAACTACGTCAATGGATCAAATAAAAATTTGCTGAATAAACATAAAGATTTATCTTGTAAATAAATAAAATCATACAAAAGGCGCAGAGTAGGATTTAAATCCACAACTCTTGAAGTTGTCAAATGCTGTACCAACAAGAAAAGAGTTAAAAAAACAAGTTAAGATGTAAACATATTGCGTGTTATGATAAAAAGTTCAAATACTATTTACGCTTCATCAACTCAATTCTGGCAAAAAAATAGTTTACACTTGAACAGTAAATATCATTTTATGGAAATTAAAAATAATTAGGAACCTGACTCAAGTGTTCCTTTATATTTAATCTTATCAAAATCTGGTGTATATTTATCATAACAATAATATTTACACGAAATTTTTTTAAATTAAAATAAAGATTTATTACCTTCATTGGTAGTAATCCGAACCATAGCACAACTAATTCCTTTCTTGTACTTTTCAGGTAGCTTAGAAATAATAAGCGGTAAGAAAAATACAGCTAATATGTTGACGTACGCCAAAAAATAACCAGGTACTTTCTTTGAAATGTAGGTTAAGATTCCAAAGAAGGAACACATAATAAAAGCAAACTAAAAAAATTCATTTAAAAAAAAAATAAAAGAGTTTATGTTAGATATCTTAAGCTGATTTCCATTATATACAAAGATTTTGGGGTATCTTACAGTTGTTTCTTGCATATAATGGAAAGTAACTTTAATAAAAAACTTACTGTAGGTGGATTATGAGCACGAAAATAATGAAAGTAACCAATACATTTTTTAAAACAAATAATAATTTTTTGTATAGTGTCAGCAGAAGGTGTAGAAGTAGCTAGGAGTCCAATCCTCTCAAAATAATTGTCGGCAATAAATAATATTAAAATAGTAAAAAATAGGATTCCATATAATTTGAATTGGAAATAAACGATTGCCCTAAAAATACCCATAAATGTAAAGATAGACCGTCGGAGTTAAAGAATTTCCAAAAACAAAGAAAAAAGATTGTTACCAAAATAACACGTGAACTGCACTTAAAACGGCCCAAGACAATCCAGGATCCTCCCAAAAAACAATTTTATGGACAGCATTTAAATAGGCGTTCATCCTGGTCATTTCAACGTCTTCTTTCTTAACCACCTCGGTGTTCGCAAACCTCCTATAGAGGCCTTTAAAATATTCCATTTTAACACGGTTCTGTCTGTTTTAAAACGAAAATCACGCACCAATGAAAACAAGGATTCGTCTTTGTTTGGAAAACTCACGTCTCCTCTACCGAACGTGTACCACCTTAAAAATTTACTAAAAAAATTTCACTAAAACAGGGGCGGCATTTGCCAATTGCGTATTATTTAGGGGGCTTTCCGCGCGCGCGTCTGTTTACACCAGTTCGAGGTAAATAACGCGCATTTTATGACGTTCCCTCGGATAAAATTCGCAGTTTGGCGTTTTCGGCACGCTCGGCTACGGTCGTCGTCGACGTCGACATCTCGAAGGTCGTTGTCGTTAATTGATTTTGCAATATGTATTCTCAAACGCTTACGGGCCGAATATGTAACATAACTATTTTTGTTTATACTTTTTTGACTCTACTCAGGGTCAATTTTGAAATCAAATTTCGAAAGTCATACCGTCGTGTACTCGTTTGACAGATAAATAACCTCACTTTTATTTCTTTCTTTCAATTGGAAACTGTACATTTTAGGTTTTATATTTATATTATTTTTTTTATCTCATATAATTCCTATTTTTATCACACCAAATCATATTATTATTATTTGTTGACTACAATAAAAATTGGATAATTTTGTAATAAAATTTGTTGATCATTTGACACATAAATAACCTCACTTTTATTTCTGTCATTTAGAATTGTTCTGTCAATTGTACCTTTATGTTTTTATATTATTTCCTTTTTTTATCACATTAAATCAAATTATTATTAATTGTTGACTACAATAAAAATTGGTTAATTATGTAATAAAATTTGTGGATCATGTGACAGATAACTAACCTCACTTTTATTTCTATCTGTCATTTGGATTTGTTCTGTCAATTGTACATTTAAGTTTTTATATTATTTTTTCATCTCATTTAATTCCTATTTTTATCACATTAAATCAAATTATTATTAATTGTTGACTACAATATAAATTGGTTAATTTGGTAATAAAATTTGATCATTTGACAGGTAAATAACCTCACTTTTATTTCTACCTGTCAATTGTAAACGGTACATTTTAGTTTTCATATCCATATTATCTTATCTCATTTAATTCCTATTTTTATCACATTAAATCAAATTATTTAATTTGGAATTGTTCTGTCAATTGTACATTTAAGTTTTTATATAATTTTTTTATCTCATTTAATTCCTATTTTCATCACATTAAATCAAATTATTATTAATTGTTGACTACAATATAAATTGGTTAATTTTGTAAACAAATTTGATCATTTGACAGGTAAATAACCTCACTTTTATTTCTACCTGTCTATTGTAAACGGTACATTTTAGTTTTCATATTCATATTATTTTTCTTATCTCATTTAATTCCTATTTTTATCACATTAAATCAAATTATTATTAATTGTTGACTGCAATAAAAATTGGTTACTTATGTAATAAAATTTGTGAATCATTTGATACATAAATAACCTCACTTTTATTTCTATCTGTCACTTGGAATTGTTCTGTCAATTGTACATTTAAGTTTGTATATTATTTTTTTATCTTATTTATTTCCTATTTTTGTCATATTAATCAAATTATTATTAATTCTTGACTATAATAAAAATTGATCAATTTTGTAATAAAATTTGTTGATCATTTGACATATAAATAACCTCACTTTTATTTCTTTCTGTCAATTGTAAACGGTACATTTTAGTTTTCATATTTATATTATTTTTTTAAATCTCATTTAAGTCCTATTTTTGTCACATCAAATCAAATTATTATTAATTGTTAACTATAATAAAAATTGATTAATTTTGTAATAAAATTTATTAACCATTTGACAGATATATAACCTAACTTTTATCTGTCAGCTGGGATAAATTTAATTTCATGTTTCACTTCTTTTTAATCTCATTTATCTCCGGTTTTGGTTGCTGCCGGGTAAATAAGTTGTTGTTTTGTATTGATATACACGTGTCAATAACACAGTTATAATAGCCCACGAGTTCATAAAGTTGTTTTGACGAATAAGAAACAATTCGTATTGTATAATCGCTTCATTACCATGTCGTATTCCTATTTTTATAGGCTGTTAAAAATTAATTTTGATTAAGTGTTATTTTAAAATCACAACATTAATTAAATTAAAATTTATGTGTTTAAAAACATGTTGATGTTGTTTAATGGAAAATATTTCATCATAACACATTAATGATTTCAATTTATTTTATCGGGTAAATATCTGCTTAAAAAGCAAAAATTAAACTAAATTTTAGTGATTTTAATGTTTTTATTCCTCTAAGTTCAAAGACAATATATTTCAGTAAATAATTTATAAATTCATGATTAGTCGTCAACAATCTGAAGAATCTTAAAATTGTGATAAAAATCAGCTCTCAAAAGTTATTAATAAACATTTTTTTTTGTCAAATCCATAAGTACGTTGATGAAGCGTTTTAAGGCACATTGTACTAAAATTAAGTTAACCACTACAACAAAATTAAATTTTTAATAAGAAAAAAAAAATAAAACTTACACTAATATTATTATAAATATTATAGGCACATCAACATTTAAATAGATCTACTTATTCTCTATGTACTTAATTACTAAGTAGCTTTAAGGCAGGACATCAACAAAAAAATCAATATTATTAAGGTTCAAAAAAAAAGTGATCCTTAATTGATATTGATTTAATGTTAATCATCTTAGATTCGTTTTTTTATGGCAGTCATTTTTAGGCGTTTTTAAAATTATTTTAGATTGGATTGATTTAACATTCATTTTTCAATAATAAACACGAATTAATAAAATAAATAATATAAAAGTCACAACTACAAAAAGCTGCTAATTTTTTCTATAATAAAATATAAACTTTAAAAAAGGTATTAGAGAGGTTATTTGAAAATAAAATTATCTGACTTAGAACAAGTTAATATTTACAAAGCTGAGAGAAGAAGAAAATAGATTATTACATAACGAGAAGATTGTGAAAAAAATTAAATGAGATGACTTTGGTTGTGTAGTTACAACATAAAAATAATTAGATCTTTTTTTTTTTAATTTTAAATAATAAAATAATTCAGATCCTTTTCGCTTAACCTTTGCCGGCGTAAGTTGGATTTTTGAATGTTGAAGTTGCTTGTTTATAAATTGGATTTTCGCTCTGAAAAAAAGATAAATAAAAAATTATTTCATTATGGTTTTATAAAAAAAATGGTGGTCGTGATATAATTCTAAGAACGTTTTTGTAATTATCTACATTGTAATGTCTGAATTGTTAGCAAATGACTTCACGTTTTTTTTTCTCTTTTTAAATCAACTCAACATACAATAAAGCATGTTACATCATCAACATATTTACATTAAGATAAGGGATAAATTACATTAAAAACTTTCTGAATAAGTAGAATTTGTTTTATAACAGATCTTAGAATATTTCTTTTTTAAAATGTTTATGGAATTTTTTAACTACCAAATTAAGATTAGTAGTGGTGGAACAGTAGTTTAAATTTGCGAAGAGACAGTTCTCAGAAATTTTCCTTAATTATCTGATGAACAAGGAGGGTTGTTAAGATTAGTTTTTGGACTTTGACTGTTTTCTTCAACGATCTGGATAAGCCATCGCTATACTTTTATACACGTCTGTTTGTCTCAGACATATACAGTAATCCCCGACCCCCTCCGTCCTCGTTTGTCCAATGCATGTAATCTCTGGCAATTCAAAATAATAACTTTACATTCAGTAAATCTATTTATCAATTAGCTTTATCTATTTATAATTAAAAATATTATAAACAAAAGCAAATCAAAACGCTGACACTGTTTACAAACATTCAGCGTATATCAATAGGACAGTATTTAACACGTTATGGACTATCCAGAGAGAAGCGAAGCGAGCGACGTTGGTTTTCTCATAACTTGACGTCACACATTGGGCTGAATCCCGATTCTAGCTGGACAGAAGTAAAAAATCAATGACAAAATGTAAGATATAAGTACTAAGTCTTTCACGGCCAATGTAAATTAAACTAAATCTAGAACTAATAGTATGCGTCTTTTGAAAAAGTGTTTGTAAACCCAGAAATATAAGATTTTCAGGTATAGGAAATTTTTCTTAAGACTTCAGTAAACCTAATTCCACAAAAATTATTATTATAGCGAACAATAGCGTATAAGAAGTTACTTTGAAAACTGTCGAATGCAAGTAGCGCGTGTAACGCTCTCACTATACATTAATGTGAAAGAATAATGCTGAAGTTTTAAGCACTGAAAACGTCCGATTGAAGAAGGCAAGTTCATACCATTAAAATATCAGAGAGTGTGATTTTGCTTCGTGGAAATTGTAAAATTCTTTACATTTTAACGCGCAACTTTTTTTCATTAGATGTTAATGACTTGAAATTTTGAGAATTTCTTTATTATGATATAATTAATAATATATTCAAAGGAGGAGGGCCATAATGAACTATAAATTGAGATACAACAAAAATTCTCGAATTAAAACTCCAAGCAAATTTTCATTTTGTCTTGATTTTTTATAAAACTTGGTATTGGTGGGGTACTGATTACGAATCTGGGGCTCTAATAGTAAACTTTTCAAAAATCAAGATGGCGAAAACAATATACGGGTGTACAAAAAGTATGGAATAATGGTTCGACAGCCTAAACTTCAACTTAAATTAAAAAAAGTTTTAAATAAAAGTTACTTGAAACTATTTTCCGCATATTTTGGCGTAGAAATAAAATAAAAATGATGATGGCAGTCTGAGTTACGACATGGTGAGTGTGTTTTTTAAATGGAACACCCTGTATATTTTAAGGTTTTTGGATTCCTTTTGACAAGATGTTGCAAAATGCCATAAGGTTTTAATGCTTTAAACTGCATAGTTTTCGAGATATTGAAACTTTTATTTAAAAAGATTTGACCAAATTAGGGAGTCATTATGGAATAGACAACCTAAGCCTTGACGTCACAGGAATGGGCGGAGCTTACTCCAAACATCTTCGTTGCTAAAGAAAAATCCCCATATGCAATTTTTCTTTTTTCTTCCATACTTTTTGTACACCTATAGAAAACTAAAATTGCGAAAAAAAAGGATAATTTACGTAAAGGTTGATATCTGGGGGGTATTTGAGGACATTGATATATACAGGGTGTCTCAGCGAAACCGGTCATTAGACGTTTCTGTCCGACATAAAAATTGAATTAAAATTGAGAATTCAGATTTAAGTATAATCAATTTCGTTCTCTTCGACTAAAATATTTTCAGATTTCTAGCACTTCCGGATATACCGGAAGTCGCTACATATATTATTTTTAAATGAAACACCCGGTATATTTTTACATATTTGGATTTGTCTATTTTCAAGGTTTATGAATAACTTTACTTTTTGTAATTTGAATCGGCCGTTCTCGAATTATTCGATTTTTTCTAAAAAAATTTGCTCTAGCAGATTTGCTCAAAAAATCAGAGAACACTCGATTTTTGGAATAACAAGTTAGTATTCAGACCATGATTATTAAGCAACATGATGGAATATGTTTTACTGTCGAGGACGGCTGTCTAGATCGTTTGGTCACTTAACTATGGCACGTTAACTTTTCGCAAATTGGAAGTACCATAACTTCATTTTTTTAAATGGCACCTCCAATATATTATTACTTAGTCGTCTTCAACGTCTCATTTTACATCTTTTATATCCCATGTGTCCTATATCTAATATTAATAATTTGGAAGGTTAGGGTTTTTTTAATTTTGGTTGGTACATGATGCCTCCCAGCGTACATAAAAGCCTTTTACATGGCTCTTTAGCCATCAAAGGTGTCCTTATTCCAATAGGGCAGCTTTCAGAGTAGGCATAGGAGGCAAGGAATGAAGACATGAGGCTATTCAGAGCCCAGCATAGCCCTTTTTATAACATCAGATCCTGTTATTACAGGCATCTATTTTATCTTTCCATTTTATTTTATACCAATTTTTCTCTAAAAAGTATGTGAAAAACCTCAAAATTCTGTTATGAGAATTAAAGCACCTACTTTTTCCTTCGTACATATTTTTAAGCTATTCTAACTCTTGTTAACCCCATAAAATAATTTTGTAACCTGATGAAGGGGGAGGTTACTTCTGAAACTTGTAGTAAGGTTTATTTAGATGGGTAATTTCCATTATATATCTACTTAATGCTTTGTTATGCTCAGTTAGAGTATGTATACTAAGTAATGTAAAATCAATGTATTGTTTATCAACTAACTGTTGTCAACTTTATCTTTATTTTCATTTTGATGTTTGTGCAATAATTAGTTTTCCAATTGTAGTGTAATTATAGACTTCTCACTGTAATCAAGGTTCTGATCAACATAATTTAGACATTTCTTTGAAATCTGGAGTATGGGCAATGTAAATCCAGATTTCATATAAAACTCTTCTTTATGGAATAAGTTTCCAGACCCCTTGTTATATCCGAAATGTATGCAGTGTAATTTCACATATCCTTATAGAGTCTGGATAGTGTAGTTCCTGAGTTCTTGTTGAGGTCGGACGTCTAATTAATGTAAATCCAGAATTATTCTTGAATTTAGACTTTGGTCAATGTGATTTCCAACCTTTCTCTTGGAATTTAGAATTTAGCCAGTATATTTCAATTAATTAAATTTCGTTATTTCCATAATATCTTAATCTGTAACTTTTTTCTGGAAATAAATGGTTTCCGTTATGGAAGAGAAAATGGAGGTTTAATTGTTGTTGAAGAAAATTGATTTTCCTAACATCCTCACGCTACTATCAAAAGCATTAGCCAATTTTTGAATCTGGTAAAATATATTTTCAAACCAGGTAAATCCAAAACTGAAACATTCATCCCATTATTGTTGTGTTTTCTACTTTTATACATTTTTCTTCGTCGTTGATTATGTCGCTGTTGTTGTTAAACCATGATAACTGATCGCTAGTCAAATAATTGTTAAAATCCCGACGTTTTCATTATAATGAGTGTAACTCTAATAATAATGTAATCTTATAAAATGCTTAATTTGATATTAAACGAGTGTTTACTTTGGCGGAGTCGCAATAAATTTTATATCTTAATTAAGACACAATTTTATAAAGCTCAATTAGGCACGTTAAATTCAAGCAAACTTAACAAATCCCTAATTAAATAATGAAGCTTGGTTTACGCATTTTTTTTATAACCCAAATTTAGATAAAATAGTTATACATATTACTTACAGCATCCCATTTGGCCATCATCCTTTCTTTTTCAAATTTAGCAAATTCTCTCCTATCATGAATTGTGGTAAGCAATTTCCATAAAAGAAGAATAGCCATTCCCATCAACACAATTGCAGCAATAACACCAAAAATAATTCCAGTGAATAAAACTTTTGGTGGACACTCCAATTCTTTTTGTGCTTTAATAATTTCTTTTTTATTGCTATCAAAGTAATAAACATAATAAAATCGGCAATCGTTTTCATCCAAAAAGGTACAAAGTGTTTCATCATTATCTTCATTTTCTATTTATTAAAAAAAAATAAAATTAAATCCTTTAAATCATAATAAAATAAAGCAACTTACTATCTATATATTCAACTGTAATTGGGGTTGTAACATTAACACAACTTTCAGTACAATTATCCTTAAACGGCCCAGTTTTCCACATTTGGCATTGAACACAATCTTTCAACTCTTCACATCTATCTGAACAAGTGGGGCACTTCTCGCAAAACTTTCCTGAATATCGGATTTCATCTGTACTTTCACATTGGCACACCCCGCAAACGCAATCTCCTTTTCCCGAACAAATTTTATCATTTCCAGGGGCAAAACACGTATCTTGTAAAGTCGTGCATTCGCAAGCTGCTCCAGTCCATGGCGGTTTACACATACATTTTCCACACAAGCATCCCGTCGAGTGAGTTGGCCCGCTACATAAAAGCCCTTGATGTCGATCGCATGAGAAATTATCACACTCGCAAAATGGACCATCGACTATTTCATCTTCTTTATCACGAGTGTTACATTCGCAACGACCACATGTACAAGTTCCTCTTCCGGAGCAATCTACCGTGGCGTTTGCGCTGGGTCTACAACCCTTTTGATCTTGAACTTCGGATTTTTCAGTGGAACATTCACAAAAACGACCGAAAGCTCCTTTGTGACATTCGCAAATTCCACATTTATATGTTCCTGAATGATGACATATTGGGGAATTTGGTTCGTAAGACTACAAAAATAATTTTTTTAATACAATTGTTGTTGTAGTTTTATTTTTTATTACCGAATCTGAAGGTAATTCGCAATCACAAGCGCACCACATATTTAAATCGACTATTAAGCTCTCGTTTAAACCAACTGGATATATTTGAATCGTTTGTTTCCAATCTTTTGGATTAACTGGACATTCGGTGACTTCAATTTGAATTTTAAAAGTTACTACATCCCCCACCTAAAAATTTTTAAATTTAATTTTTCTTCTTTATTCTATCATAAAATATTTACTTTCATGTTGCTACATTTATTGGTTTTTTGTTCTGGACCGGTCGTGTTTAAACATTGTGAAAAATAAGTCATTTTAACAGCGCTTGTTGCGTTATCTTTCATTTCAACTGTTGACGAAATTTGCTGGGCAAAAAAAATATTACTTTAATATTAATAAAGAATAAAATATTCTTACTTCATATTGATTTTTGACTAATTCTACAATATTAGAGGAATCGTTTGACAATTGTCCACTTGAAGATCCTTCAATATGCTCTTGCAACCTTTTATAAATACTAATTTGGCTTTCAGTTACCGCAAAAATAATATTAATAGCGTTTTGTTTAACTTTATGGTTTATCTGCGAGATGCTGGGGTAATCTAATAAATCAGAATGAGTGTACATTCCGTGTTTTAAATGGCACTCTCCATCGTTTGGAGTTATTATTCCACCCAACTAAAAAGGATTTATATAAAAAACATTAATATCATAAGCTATTTTGTTTTCTATACTTTTCCATCCCCAGCGTAATGAAAACCAGCGTCTGTTGAAAAAACTAAAAGTCTTCGAGCTTGTTCTCTCCAACCAATTTCATTCCTGCAAACGATCGCTTGCATAATTGCATCAAATCCTCCTTCTGGGGCGTCCAAATTTCCCGATACCGAAGCTTTATCTACCATGTGCTATTAACGTTACAAATTTATTTTTTGATTTACACTTAAAAAATGTTAATCATCAAGCAAATTTTTAGAATTAAATAAAAAGATTAAAAAATAATAAATAAAGATGTGCACTTTTTTTAAGTTAAGGTTTTTAAAGGGTTCGGTTGATATTAAAGGTGAGACACAAGGATGTGTTTTGGTGAAAAAAATCCCATTAATTCGTTTTAAATATACAGACAAATTCATGCAAAAATCAAATCACAATGAACAGCTTTTAAATAAATCACCAAAAACCAGTCCAATTAATTGTGCAAAAATTCAGTGCTTCCTATAAAAAAAAAGTAAGAGATAAATAAATCCACCACCGGAAGCAACGAAAAAAGTACCAAGCCATGCAAAATGTAATAATAATCTCTTAAAGTCGGAGGTCGTCTCGGCTAAAATGCGAACTTACGGAGAATTGCCTAGCGTCCGTGGATAACCGCATGACATTCTTGAAACCGTACGGCGCCGCGCATCCCATGCAAGGAGCCAGTAAACTATAACCACAATTCGGAACTAACACCAAACATGCTGAGGCCACGCCGATAATATATCAGTGACATTTGAAAGATATATTCTTACCATCACCCAATGTGTTTGATGTTGTGAATTTGTGTGTGCATAAAAAATGTGATATGATTAAAAAAAAAATCATTCAAATGTCATTTTTTTAACATTTAAAAATACATATTGAATATTTTGGAAGAAGAAGTGTTGAGTAATAAAAATAGCTATCCTAAAAATATTTAAATACAAGACGTTTCCTAAGTAAAATTTAATTTAGGTCACATTTTGTATGAAAAGTATGCATTCCTACATGCATATGTCGCAATAATAATCAAATTCAATTTTTCATAAGTTTTAAAGTTATCTTGAAAAATCCTAGTTAGTTGTCTAGTTCTATTTATTGAATATTAAGAACTTATTTTTTCATATTCAGGTTAAAGATGCGAATTTTACATTAATACTGCGACACTCCGGGATAATTCAGACCACCATACTTTGGAAAGTTTTTATTCATAAACAATGAATCCTACAAAGTCAAGCTTTGCGTTCCACACCATAACCCAAGAACTATTAAAAGTTAATGTTTGCAACAATTGTAAAGGAGACTCGTGACTATTTACGTGGTTTAGCAATATATTAATTAATTATCGTAACCCACGTGACCTGTGTAACATTGGCTGCACATCTCAATATGTAGTGGCAGCTTGTATAATTTTAAATTAGTAGCCAGATGTTAACAGCTGATCGAACGTTATTGTTGTAATTGTCATACGCTTAGTGAGTTTCCGTATTTTCTTTGTTCTTTAACAGTCTTTTGCTGCCTTTATATTTTTCGAAATAGTTCTTTTTAGAACTATCGTTGTTTCTAGCGGTTGCTTTAACACATTGGCTGCCACGTCATTCATATATGAATGTCATTCATGACGCCATCACGTGGCAGCCAATGTGTTAAGCGGTAAGTCAATAAGCAAATTAATATAACGAAAACCTCCGGTGATGCATGCCGGCGTGAACGTGTTAAAATATTTTTTTAATTATTAAAATATAGAAGTATCTAATATTTTTTAAACGGCTTTTAACGCTAATGAATTGTCGCCATCGTTTTTAGGAACTTTCGTCGCGTTGCAATACCAATCTGTGATATTGGTTGCATACTTTGTAGGGTACAATAATTAATTAACACACTGTATACAGGTAGCCCTCGGTTTATGCCGCCTCAATTTACGCTGTTTCACAATTACGCCCCTACGCATTTGCTGTTTCGCTGTGTGAATCCCCGATATCTCGATCGGTCTTTCCCCCTATACTATAATTCGTTGTTCAATGTAGTTGGTTTTAGTATTTATGTATTTACTGAACGTATTTATTGGTTGTTGGGTATACATCATATTTTTTTAAAATAATATTGAAATAAATAAAAATGTTAAAATAAAAATTTAGGTATCCACGTATATAAGAATAAAAAAGGGTTACTAGTTCAAGTAAAAGAAGGACATCAAGTTGCATAACAGTGTTAAGAAGGCACGACAATCTATTTCCCTAGAAACAAAAATGGAAGTAATTCGACGAATGGAATATGGACAGACACCCTTAATGTCTGTAGTTCTTTAAATTTGCCTCCATCAACTGTTACTATAATTATGAAAATATAGATAAAATTAAACACTCTGCTCAACAGTCCACAGCACTAAATGTTAAACATGTAAGTTATAGCAGAGGTAAAATTTTTGAAAAAATGGAATGGGTGGATTATGGTATCAAAAAAATATTCTATTGACTCAAGCTGCTATAACGGAAAAAGCAAAATCAATTTTTAATAATCTTAAGGCAACAGATGGAGGCGAGGAAACATTTTTGGGAAGCAAGGGTTGATTTACTTGGGTTATGAGATTTTAATGCCGAAGTAATTGTCGTTGTGTGGAATTATGTGGTGAAGCAGCAAGTGCAGATGTAGGGTTATGCAGATATTGGGTTATGTAGAACAAGGCAACTATTCTCTATTCTGGTGAAGAGCGATCTGCTCCAGATTTTAAAGTTGCGAAAAATAGAATAACTCTTTTGCTGGGAGCGAATGTTTTAAGAACTTTGAAACTTCAACCAATGTTTGTGTACTATTCGCAGACTCCACGTGCTTTAGGGTCTCAATAAAGACATGTTACCAGTTTATTTTCAAATGGAACAAGAAAGAGTCACACAAGCTATTTTAACAGATCGGTACACAAATTATTTTTGCCCAACTGCTTCTTTTTTTGTGAAAAAAATAAATTATCACCCAAGGCACTTCTTCTCATGGACAATGCTCCAGAACATGCTTAAAACTTGGACGAAATCAAAACACCATTGGCTGTCAAAGTTGTTTACATGCATCCAAATACAACATTACTTTTGCAGCCAATGGATCAGGGGGTTATTGCAACCTTTAAGGCATACAATTTCCGCAATACTTTCTTGGAAATGGTGAGAGTTTTGGACACTTCAGATAAAACAGTCAAAGACTAGTGGCGGTCTTTCGATATTTTAAAACGAATGGCTTGGGATGATGTTTCGACAAAATATTTAAATGGAGTTTGGCGTAAACTTCTGCCAGCATTAATGCACGATTTTGAAGTACCATAACATAGAATCTAATTGAAGACATTACCAGGCTTGCAGGTGATTTGGGATTGAAAGATGTTACTACTCAAAATTTCACAGAACATTTAGAAGTCCAAGATCAACCACTCTCAAATGAAGACCTAGAAGAATTATACAAAGAATTGGATCGTGAACAGTCAGAGGACAACAAAGAAGAAATTCCAAAAGTGATGAAAACGGCCGATCTAAAGCGTATCCTTTTAACGATTGCAAGTTGGAGTGATGAACTTTATGTGTGTATGTGTAAACCTCACTGTAAATATAGGTTCGATTTACGTAGGGGTTTATAAGACTTACTTAAGTTTTTGTTGTTGGATTATGGAACAATACTCTTACCATACATTTAGTTTATTTTTCGTGGATTCATCGTTTTGGAATAAAAACTGTCATATGTGTCTGAATCATCCTGTATAGTAAACAATTTATAGAAATTTATAATTATTATAACTAATTTACATATTTTACATAGATTCATAATCTACAAATAACAAGAAAGAAACAAAAACATCTCAATTTTGTTGTCCTGGAATTCCCTCGACCTACAAATTTACAGGAAAAAAACATGCTTTTGTATATTTTAAACCAGATATATAAACATAATAAAGGTGTTTTCAAGGGCGATGCATAAAGGAGTACAAAAAAATAGGATTAATAATTGGATTTATATAGTGCACAAATATTTGCTTATAAATTTTGTGACAAACTCTTTAAATCAATTTTTAATTATTTTTCTTTTAATAATTTTGTTAAACTTACTGAAAATTGGGAAGTGTTAGTGCTGAGAGTCATATGATTTCGATATCCATATGGTGCTTCGCATTGAGAACATGGTTCTTTCAACCTAATGAGTTAATTAATAGCAAAAAAATCACTCCAAAAGGTTTAATTAAAATAGAAAACGTTAAAATTATTATAAATAAAAAAAAACTTACTTTGAAGGTACTGTACTAACGTAAGGCATAACAACTTTATCAACAAAGCTGCCAAAACCCAATCGGAAATTCGACGTTACATTACTCATCGTTTCGACTAGAAGGTTACCGAGTTTCGAAAGTTTTTCTTTGTCGTCTTCCATCGATTTACTAAGGTCCATAAGATAATAAAGATCAACCGGATAATCTTCAGCTTGAGTATACATCATCGAAATTGTGTAAGCTTGTCCTATCAAGTAATAAATTAATCAACAAAATAATTTAAAATTTATCTTCCAAATACGTACTTGCTCGTAAATGTAATGTAATTCTTTGTGGGCTAACTTGAACGATTTCCGATGACGAAGATGATCCAGATGCGCTAGAAGAACTTGATGAACTCGAACTTGAAGAACTTGAACTACTTCCGGAAGCTCCGAAACTCCCTTCAGCAGAACCAGAAGAATGCGCTTTTGATAATTCTTTTTGAACCATAATTTGTTGAAGATTATCCGGGTTTACGATAAATTGTTCCGGGCAAATTGTACTTTGCGGACCGGATGGTTGAAAACATCTTGTGCGTTGATCGAAATTCTAAATTATAATGTTATTAGAATCGTTGATCAATTCATTTTTGGGGATTTATACAAACCGGTGCTTTACACCAGGCACATGATGGAGTTTGAATACATTCGTGGCATGTTGTTTTGGAAACGCAAGGATTTTGAATTACGTTTGCCGGTGCTTGACAATTTATGAGGGTAATAAGTAGTGGAAGAAGTAGAAATGATGTGGACTTCATTCTAATGAAATAATAAAAGAAGTTTAGGTATAAGTTAGTTACTTTTAGTTTTACACTAATACTAGAACTAACACAAGACCTAGATCCAGAAACATTCGGGTTTAGCCGTGCGTCTGTTTAAGACGGCTAAACCTGACTGTTTCGAACTGTAGTGACAGTGGTAGGTAGCGCCAGTTAGCATAAGATCATTATGTTGCATATTTTTATAGTACTAAAACTAGAACTAACACTAGACCTAGGACTAGAATCATTCGGGTTTAGCCGTCTTGAGAGACGTGCGGCTAAGCCCGAATGATTCTAGTTCTAGGTCTAGTGTTAGTTCTAGTTTTAAATGTTGTTTAGCGTTAGATTGTGGTATATTTTTATTGTAAAAAAAGTAGAACTAACACTAGACCTAGAACCAGAAAGTTTCTAGTTCTAGTGTTAGTTCTAGTTTTACACTAGCACTATCACTAGAACTAACATAAGACCTAGAACTAGAATCATTCGGGTTTAGCCGTCTTGAGAGACGTGCGACTAAATCCGAATGTTTCTAGTTTTCGGTCTAGTGTTAGTTCTAGTATTAACACACAGTCTATCTAACGACAGATAGTCAGTCGTTATGCATTGAAAGTCTAAGAAAAACGAGGGTGTTTCATCCGTAAATATACACTGTGTTAATTAATTATCGTATCCGACGTCATTATTGCAAGTATGCAACCAATATCACAGTATTGGTATTGCAATACGCAAACCAATATCACAGTTTGCGTATTGCAATACCAATACTGTGATATTGGTTGCATACTTGCAATGATGACGTTGGATACGATAATTAATTAACACACTGTACGTGTAATTTCACCTAGTTTAGTGAAAATAACTTTACTATTAAGTTTATCAGATTGATTTTGTGGGTGGCTATAAAATAAACAATTTGTAGGTTAGGTGTTGACTAGTTTAATAGGAAAATGCATGCTTATCATTACTTGTGACGTCACATCGAAACTTTAATGTGATTTTTTAGTATGTTCTACACTTTTCCGCTCGTCCTTTTTATTTTTAACGTGTTTTTTTGGTCATTTCACATTGATTAAAAAAATCATCGATTTTTAAGCCACATGATTCTTGAATTTTTCGAAAACAACTTTTATTTTAATATATTTATATAAATTGTTGTTACATAAAATTAATTAACTTCCTGAAATCAATCTTAAACCGCTACAAACTTAAAATTCTTGAAAACCAATCTCTCTATAAAGCTAAAAAAGGAAATAGAACAGTTCGTTTCGAAGAAAAGAAAATATCCTCGGTGATTCAAGGAAAACCTCATCACCCGTAATAATATCATATATCAAGCACATAGGTGATGGTTTATTTTTGGCGATGTGATTCACACCCTCCAAAAACCAAAAATCAATTTTAACGATAAGATACCAAAAACCAGACGAAACTAAACATCCGGTGTTGACTTTCGGAAAGCTTATTTTAATAAAACAATGAAACCGAGTCGAGTCGAGCTTAATAAGAAAAATTTATGTCCACCCACGTTAGATCGCCACGAAAGTATGTTATTTTATTCTCGATTTTTAAGGTTTTCCCCTCGAAATCTCGCCGAATTAAAGCGCTAAATCGATTTTAAAGGTCGAAATTGCGCTGGAATTATGTAAACAAATATCGAATAAAGTTGTAGTATCGACGAAAACGATAAGTTATCAGTATTGAGGCTATGATAACCACCTAAACTTACCTTATTGGTTCGGTTTATCTTAACTAATCAATTTTATCGTAATATCACAACCGATTAATTAAACTTATCTTTCACATATCACGAACACAAACCGAGTCACACCTATCTTATCATTTTGCTCGGAACCAACTAAAAATGGTGGATGATATTGGATGTATAGAGACATCTATCGAGGAAAATTGTTAAACACAAAACTTTAAATTAACAAAAGAATAATTGTTATAATACGTATTATTTTAAATTTTAATGCAATTTAGTTAATTTAATACAATAATTATTAGTTATAAAGTTTTTGAATAAATTAAATTTAAAAAATTTTGATTGTGTAATTTGGGTTGTCTGTACACATGAATATATCTTTCAAATTTATTTTAGTTTATAATTGTTGTTTAAATAATTCATAAACTAATACTTGTATATTAATTTTTACACAAGAACAATATAATTGTTATATTTATTATCATAATATAATTATAACACGCTATTTATTTATGTGTTAACTGTATCGGGTATCGCGTTAAGGGTACGGAGAGGCTGTATCATAACAACGATGTTTATAGAAAGTAAGAAATTATATATAGCGCATTCAATCTTCATTAAATTTGCTTTAAAATGTTCTTTATTTCATGATAATATCTCCATTCGTTCTTGAGATACGATTTTCTTTTAAATGTATATATTCATGACACAAAAAATAGGGGATGATCCAACGTCTTGGCTGCTTCGTTTTAATAATTTGTTGGGCACCTAATTCTTTCGCAGGAAGTGTTAAACATTGAAATTCGATTAGTGCCTTTTATTTTAGTAAAATGACGTAAGTTTTATTTGAAATGTTTCGAGAAAACGAGTAATTTTTTTATTGAAAGGTTGAGTTTTAAAACCAAAAAACGATTTAAAACCGCTTCGCCCCGCCGTCTTTACATTTTTTGTTTATTCACCTCCAGTATTCCTTCTTCACATAATAAATTAAGGGGGGGATGTTTGGAAGTTGATTCGGTAATAACGCATTTTAGTTGATGTGCGGGCATTGAAGGGTGATAAAGTAGTTTAGAAAAATAAAATTTATTACTTGATTAAGTGATAAATACGTGTTATATTTATACTAAGTGTTAGGCGATATTAGTGATGTGATATAGTTGAGATCATCGGATTGCTATTTTATGGATGTTAAAAGGTATCGTATTAATTCATTTTTTTGTTCACAATAAATTAATTTATCTTTTCTTTCTAGCTTAGCTTTGAAGTAAAATCCAAGGGAAAGCTTTAATTATCAATATTGCCAAAACATGAAATAATTTGAAATTGATTGTAAACCACTCCAAATAGTACTAGTATAATCTAATTCAAGCTTTTTAATGCGGGAGTCTCTTTTTTTTTGTATCAAAATGATTTCTTTGGGAATTTTTTGCTGTCAAATTATGTGGTATTTCAATTTAATCTTTTGCATATGTTTTCATGATGTATTTACTCATTTAAAAAGTATTGTTTATAGATAATAATCTTTACATTGTCCCTCAACCAAGTTGGTGCGTGGATTGTCTAAGTTGCTGGTTGACACAATATCTATCCTTCAAATGATCTGAAACTCAAAAATCAAATGATGTTCTTTTCTATTTTGTTATTCAAATTGATAAGTTTATTGCAAAAAGAAACATGTATATATCGTATCAGTTTCTCTTTAGATCATACGATAGAACGATGGTATCTGAAAGTGCACTTCAAATTTCAAGTCAATCGAATGTGTAGTTTTTTAGGAATCGTGTTAACCAGATGTAACAAGGATGTTTCGAGAAAACTGCACTTACAGTTTCATGTACTACAATGTTATGTTAATTTAACGTTTATAAGGTCTACATTCAGTCAGACGCAAGGTTTGAGATATATAACATTAAAATCTGTCAAACCGTTCTTTAGTTATAGCGTGACTAACAATTAACAACACTACATCTTACCAGTTAGTGTTTGCTTAATTATTTGTTTCTCAGAAATTATTAAATTTTAGACGAACATCAGAGAGACAAAAAAGTTTTAGAATAGTTTTATCTATCTAACTGAATAGAATAAATTTAATATAAATTTTTCCAATGTATTTATCATCTGCATAAAATTTTAGCAAAAATGTAAAGGGGGTAGTTACGTTTAGTAGTTTAGAAGGGTAGGTTGAAAGTACAAATAGGGTCAAAGCTTGTCCTATTATGAGTTAAACATATTCCCCAAATTTCATTTTCCTAGCGTTTATGGTTTTTGAGAAAAAAAAATTAAACCAAAATTTTCCGCCATTTTTGGAGGGGTGTAGCTCCTTAGGGGAGCCGAAGTCGCCCATGGTTCATATATCAAAGTACCCTTAAAATTCACTAAAGAATCATCCCTTGAAGTTTGTTGCAGTCATTCAGATACACCCTGTATAAATTTAAAAATAACTTCAAAAATTGTGAAGACACTTGCAATTATTTTTAAACAGTTCTATATGTTTATCAAGGTTACCGGCGTATTATGTCCCCGCGTAGAGTTCCTTCATTATATTATATTGCTTCCGCTTAACAGATTTATTTTCGATTTAATGATTATCAAAAATTATTTCCCAATTATAATTATCAAAACTTGTTTCTTTCATTAGAATGTGTATATGTTACAGTTAAAGCATTCATTCCGTGAATGTACACATTGTCTAGTCAATGCATACATTAACAAACTCATCTAGTTAATGTGTATATAAAATACGAAATGTAAACTTTTACTAGTTGATGTATACAATTACTAATGACGCCCAGTTAAAGGTTAAAGTAGGTTTACTAGTATATTACATAACGAAACCCAACCCAACCCAACCCAAAAAATGGTTACTATTATACTTACTTGCATCACATGCAATCCCTTCCATTAAAAAAATTATACCGTACATTTTCTTTGTTATAACTTTTACTAACATCTGTTAGCAGATGCATACACTGCCTAGTTTATATACACATTCACTAGTAAATGTATACACTCTATGACTGGTTAAGAGTTGTTCTATCTGGTTTTAAGTTAAGTACTTGGGGAAATCCCGAGATAACTGACAGGTTGTTTCCACCAGTTTCTACGGAAAAAGTTGGTAAAGGCGGGCTTAACGTCGCAGGCGGAGTTTATTTTAGTTTATTTGCTTTAAATATCTATAATTATTATTTAAAACTAGTTATTNTAGCGTCGACCCACTCGTGACGTATGCTGCGGTGCTCGGGTGTTACTGGAATCCGCTGTATCGCACGACGCGCACGCAGTCCACTATCTACCAAACGCCGCCATACAGTTCGCGTAGTGAGTGCGCCTTCCCCTGCCGGTGGCCAAACAGCTCCACGTTGCCTTGAGGAGGACGCACACGACACTAAAGCGCTGAGCACAAGAGTGCGATCCTCGTGTGCTGGGGTCGCGCAGGGCCGTCCCGGCGGCGGCTGTAGGTACCTATGTCCCAAGGTTTATATATAAAAGGTTGTCTAGGTTCGTACGCAACCATACTGCGCATTACGTCACATGTGGAAAATAATACTGCCAAGCAATTCAAATTAAACAAATGCACGGAGCACCACATGGCCATGAGGTTGCGTGCGCAATCCGTGATCGCTTACGTCACGAAACACTCCTGCTCTTGCCCCTCGCCCACAAACTAAAATCAAAGTATTGCAGCATAGGAACTTAGACAACCTTTAATATATAAACCTTGG